CCATACCGTGTCTGTTAACGTGGGTATTAAAAGTAGCCAGATCACGCCCTTCTCCCCCTAATCCTCAGCTCCTCAAACTACCTTCCCACTTTTCTCTAGGTCACTAAGCTGCAGGCAGCTGCAAACCACTGCTCTCATCCCCCAGAAGAGTACTTCCAAGGCTCTGATGAAGCCCACAGAGCAAAAACCCTTCTCCAGCCCGGCTTCCTGCCCCCACTCCCCATTCCTGCAACTCTGTTCCCCAAGTTCCACGTCTGATTTTTTTTTTTGGCAAACTTTTCTTCCTCCCTCCCTTTCTCTCTTTCCCCTTTTCCTCCCTCCTTCTCTCCTCCCTTTCTGCCTCCTTTCCTTCAGGCACTGCCAAAGATGCACATAATTAAGAAAAACTCATTAATCCAGGGAATCAGGGCAAAAGGAAAACACAGGTAGGAAAATAAAAGATTAGGGCCCAGAGAAGTTGACTGTGTGGAACTGGTAGGTAAGTATTATGAGTTGAATTGTGTGTCCCCCGCAAAAGAGATAGGTTGAATTCTCAACCCCAGGTACTTGTGAATGTGACCTCATTTGGAAATAGGGTTTTTGCAGAGGTAACCAAGTTAAGATGAGGTCATTAGAATGGGGCTTAATCCAATATGACTAGTGGCTTTTTATGAAGAGAGAAGTCCGGATACAGACGCACAAGGAGAACACGTGACAACAGAGGCAGAGACTGGAGTAATGTGGCTGCAAACCAAGGGCTGCCGGCCGCCACGGGAACCTAGCAAGAGGCAAGGAAGGATTCCCTGCTACAGGTTTCGGAGGGAGCATGACCCTGCTGACACCTTCATTTTGGGCTTCTAACCTCCAGAACTGTGAGAAAATAAATTTCTGTTGTTTTAAGCCACTCAGTCGTTAGTATTTGTTACAGCCGCCCTGGGAAACTAAAAGAGCAGGCATCCCATATTTGACTCTTATCCTTCCTAGCGGCTAAAGCAGGGAAACCATCAGTTACATGATCCACAGTGCCCACAGGATTAAAGGGTCCCATTTGCTTCTGGGATGCAGAGCTTTTCACGGCATGAGGGATCAGAGAATGGTCTTCTCTCTGGGTCCTGCAGAAAAAACACTGTGAGATGCAATGATGACTGTAGTTGATGACAACGTGACACTGGCCCTGATAATGAATTTTATGCAGCTATTTCTACAAGGTGCCTCACTGAAGGCAGATGGTATGACCCCAATGGAAAGTTCATCAGAAGCACACAGAGGAAACCAGAGGTGAAAGAGGGGACATTACTACCAACCTTACAGAAACAAAAAGGAATACTACGCACAACTGTATACCAAAACATTAGATAACTTGGATGAAATGGTCAAATTCCTAGAAAGATACAAACTACAAAAACTAACTCAAGAAGGAACAGACAATTTGAACAGATCTATACAAAACGAAGAGGTTGAATTAACAATCTAAAATAGTACCCATAATGAACAATCCAGGCCCAGATGGCTTCTCTGTTGAATTTCACCAAACACTTAAAGAAGAATGAATGCCAATTCTGTTTTTTTTTTTTTTAAAGATTTTATTTTTTCCTTTTTCTCCCCAAAGCCCCCCAGTACATAGTTGTGTATTCTTCGCTGTGGGTTCTTCTAGTTGTGGCATGTGGGACGCTGCCTCAGCGTGGTCTGATGAGCAGTGCCATGTCCGCGCCCAGGATTCGAACCAACGAAACACTGGGCCGCCTGCAGCGGAGCGCGCGAACTTAACCACTCGGCCACGGGGCCAGCCCCTATGAATGCCAATTCTTCACAAACTTTTCCAAAAAATAGAAGAGAAAGGAACACTTCTCAAGTCATTTTATGAGGCCAATATTACACTGACAGAAAAACTAGACAAAACATCACAAGAAAACTACAGACCAAAAGCACACACAGGAGTACCAAAAAAGTGTGTTCCTGGTACACAGCTCTATCATTTCATGTTTTTGAGGCAATCTCCATAAATAGTTTTCTCAAGCTGTGTTTTTGATCATTAGATAGCAGATTTCAAGGCTATAATCTTAATCAAGAATCTGGAAATTAAATATTCTGCATTATCAATGAAACGCAGCTCCTTATGCTTAGCCAACTTCTAGGAAAGGGGATGGAAATGAGGTCCCTTTATGAAAATTAAGTGTCATTTATTTACTGTTAAATGCATGATGAAAGTCAGGGGAACTGCCACACCAAAATAAGAACTGAAGAGGTTTTTTCTTGCCAAAATTTGAACAAAGAATGTGGGGCAAAGAAGAAGAGTTATTAGATGTTTGCAATATATTTTATAATTTGACTTAAAGTTTAATTTAGAACTACAAGAAAGAGATTTCAGACTATAAGAAAGTATAAGGATGGAATCAAACACAGAAAAAACAGGCTCCTTTTCTCTGGACTTCAAAAATAAATCCAAAACACATCTAGCTAGGATAATAAACATAATTCCAGGAGTCCAAATCCTACCCCTTTTTAGGTCTTATTTAGGTTATTTAGGTTAAATGCTACCACTTTCTAGAAGATAAAAACAACAACAAACAAACACATAGATACAGAAATTAGGGGAAGGGGGAGGGAGGAGGGCGAAAGGGGTGACAGGGCACATGTGTGTGGTGACGGATGGTAATCAGTCTTTGGGTGGCGAACATGATGTAGTCTACACAGAAATTGAAATATAATGATGTATACTTGAAATTTATATAATGTTATAAACCAGTGTTACCTCAATAAAAAAAATGCCACCACTCTCAATAGGATGTAGCTGTTCTCAATTCAGCGTGGCACGTGAATGTTTCCTCTTACATTATTTTTCACTTTCTTCCTGGAGTTGCATTTGTCTTGCTGTCTTACTGGAGTATAACCTTCTTGAGGGCGGGAATGGTCTCTTGGATCTCCAGACTCTTACTCAGGTTTAGGATAGGGCTTTGCCCATAACCAGCACTTACTAAAAATTGTTCTATAAACTAATGAAAATAGCATGGACCTCATTAAACAGTCTAGTGGTCAAGATCCCACGCTCTCACCTCATGACCGGGGTTCATTTCCCGGTCAGGGAACTACACCACCCATCTGTCAGTGGTCATACTGTGGTGGCTGCATGCTGCTGTGATGCTGAAAGCTATGCCACCAGTATTCCAAATACCAGCAGGGTCACCCATGGTGGACAGGTCTCAGTGGAGCTGACAGACTAGGAAGAAGGACCTGGCCACTCAATTCTGAAAAAATTGGCCATGAAAACCCTTTGAAAAGCAGTGGAGGAGCATTGTCTGATAGAGCGCTGGAAGGTGAGAGGATGGCGCAGAGAAACTGGGGAGCGTTCTGCTCTGCTGGACAGCGAGTCCCTAGGAGCCAGAATCTACTCCATGGCACTAGCAAGAACAACATTACATGGTGAGTTTAAAGCCAGATGGATTTTTAAGTTACTCAAAGTCATAAAGCCTCTTGTTAAAAGGACTGCTACATACAATAAACTTTAAAAATCTGTTATGAATTAAACCATGAATAAGAGGTGGCTTTACCCTGATTTATTTCCACTAGTTACTTTTCTTTTAATGAGATGACCACAGCTGGTAAGTGTCCTTTTTGGAGAGAAGAGAAGTAGTAACCTAATATTTAAGCTTCACATTGCAAAATGATCCCTTTAAAGACACCAGACCAGTTTTTTCTTCTGAAACCATTCTTGGAACGGTAAGGAGAAATTCCATTAATGGACTTTGAAATTCTAGTCTATAGAAAGAATGAGGTAAAAAAAAAAATTACTTGAACCAAAGCATGTAAGGTGCATTATATTAATGTAACCAGTTATTCCCTGTCCTCCTTTTAAAAGGATTGTACAATCTCTGTCCATTGTTAGGGGACTTGCAAGGCTTCCTTATGAGAGGAGTATGCTTTCTAACCCCATTGACAGCATGTTTTGTCATGTGACTGGCTTTGGCCAATAGAATGCCAGCTGCTTTAAGAGCAGCATGTGCCAGGGTCATACAAGGGCTGGTTGTTACATTTCCAGAAACTTGGCAAGCCACTCGTTAAACTGTTAGTAGCTTGAAATAGGCCACAGTGGGAGTATTTACATCATGGAAATAGCCAACACTGCAAATGAGGACTCCCCCTCCGTCAAAGCTGGGTCCAGCACACCGGGAGCAGGTCCCAAAAAGGTTGATCTTTGAACCTGGAGCCTGGAATCAAGGGCACTGGTGGAGCAGAGCCAAAGCTGCCTGCAGCAGACATAATTTGCTTGAGAAATGAATCTTTGTTACCGTGAATCACTGAGTTGCGGCGTGGTTACCTCAGCGCGATCTATCAAAAGCTGGCTGATAACCAGGCCAGCGTCTCTGAGTTTTAGTGAACACCAATGAGCCCCATCTTCATCTGTGCAGGCCTTGATTGGCGGATTTCTTGTAATAACTCGTGCCATCACACCTTGAACCTGGAAGGATGCAAACTGCACTCAGAGACTCCAGACGGGGAATCCAGGTCTTGGAAGGTTAATGGAAAGGTACGAAACAAAGATTACATTTTTAAAATCACTCCACTACTGCATCCTTTTTAAACCTGGGCAAACACAAGTCTGTCACTCGTGGGCCGGGAGGGTTCAGGAGTGACTCCCCAGTCCGCTCAACGACCGGCCCCGCGTTACGGTCCCCCCTCCCCCGCTTCCCCGACGCGGGAATTGGGCGCTGTGTCTTTAAGGGGGCCGCGCGGTTTCCGCCCCGGACAAGATGTCTGCGGGGTCCCGACTCGCGGCGCCGCCGCCCCGCCGCGCCCCGGGGCCGGGTGAGTGCGGGCGCGCCCGGGGGGCCCCGGGGAGCGGGCGGGGCGGCGGCGGGGGGGCGCGGGGGCGGCCGGCCTCGGGGCCGCAGGTGAGCCGCCGCGCTCAGCCCGTCCCGCCTGCGAAGGATGCGCTGGGACCCGGCTTCTGCGGGAGGCCCCGTGCGACTTCCTTCAGCGCCTCCTTCTTGCTCCTTCTCTCCCGTCTCCCCCAAAAAACTTACTCGGGAATCTCGAAAACCATCCGCTCTGCCTTGACGACAGTCGCCTTATTGCAGACTTTGAACAGTGCAAGAGGGTGGGTGCCCGGGAGCGTGTCTGTCTCTAACGGAGACTTTCTTACTGTTCCCCACTTTGGGGAGGAGGAGCCGAAGGCAAGCCAGCTGCTCCGACAGGCATCCCCACCCCCACGCCGCGGTGCTCAAACAAAAGGATTTTCTCATCCGCCTGGAGCCGACAGGAGCAGCTGGCTGTAACTGCTTACAGTGACCAGACGCCCAGAGCTCACCCAGCAAAGTTATTTTTCCCTCCTTGAAAGAAAAAAATAAGTACCTGCCAGCATTCGAACTTCTCCTTAGCCAAGACTACAAAGATATGGTGTTTGAGAGAAACTGGTGTAGAAACAGCTTAATAAATTGACATAATTAGGGTAATTATTTTCTGCACTTTTCATTAATGTATTATTTGTATACTTTTTTTGGCCAAAAATAGCTTGAGGCAACGGACAGTAAAAAGTATATAACAACGTGTAAAAAGGCTAAGAGCTCAAACAAGGTAATTCTTAATTAAAAAGTCTTCGTGGTACACAAGCCTTCAAAGTAGGGCAGCTTTTAGTCCTTCTAATTCATATTAAATTACGTATTTTACAAGATAAAATGGATCAACACCCTTCTTTTTGGAAACATGTATTAAATAAAGTAATGTAGGTCTGAAATAAAAGTCCACTTTAGGCAGAACACTTCACAATTTTTATTTTTAAAAAATGCATTAATAGAAAGAGAGTGTTTCTCAGCCTTTTAGCTAATGGTAGAGATATCTAAGAATTTGGCTTATGACGTTTAGAGAACATCTCTGATTCACCAGATAATAAGCTGTGGGTCCAATACATTTTTTTACAGTTCATATGCAAACTTTTGCCAAATTTTTCATCGTTAACCCTTTATTCCCTAACCTGGGGGTCCATACTTCACAGTTTGGAAGCATTTTTACTTCATCTGAGCCTTCAGCATGGTGATTCCTGACTAATTTTTCCAATTGTCTGGATCTGTTTATAAACAGATTAATACATGGCAGTAAACTAGTATTTCAACAGAGATGCACAGGTAACAGATGAATGAATTGTGGTTTCCTTGATCCCTCAGTTGTCAAGGCTAGTTATTTGTTTTAATCATTATGTTCTGTTTTGATTAAAGTCACTAGTGGATAAAGTAAATGAAAATGTTTGAGTGTTTCCACACAAGACTGTGTGGATTTCACATTAGTGTGAATTTCCCACCTAAAATCCAGGCTCAAGCTGCTGGATTAATCCACATTAGCCTGGACTATAGAAGGACTGTTAGAACTATAATTCATTTGTTATTTCCTTTTGAGAACACTGCCTGGTTCTTTGGCTTTTGGCCTGCCTGATATTTTGTATGTGTATAAGCGTAAGTATAAAATAAAATTAACTTTTGTGGGTGGTTTGTAGGATGATTCTCAATGTTATAGTCATATGGTGTGTGTCTATACCCATATTTACACAAATTATTCATCCAGGTTTTTATCTCTTCCCTTATTCTCCCTGAATTTTGGTATTCAGGGAGATCATATTGAGGAATATGGGTTTTAATTTGATAGACTATTAGAAGAATAAAACTTCTTCAGAGAATTTCAAATGCAGAGGTAATTAATGTGCATTTTTTTTCTTCCACAGAGTTAGACTTCTTATCATCCTTCCAGATAACGGATACTAGAATGAAACTCACAATGGTAAGTTCAGAGGCATGGTACCAACAACACTCCTCTCTCCTCTTCCATGAAATAACTAAAATCTACTTTTCTCCACCTGAAATTGGACTCAAAAATTTCCACTGTTAAATTAATTTCATGCTAGCCGTGCTTTTACTTAGCTTCAAGAAATTTTACTTTAAAATACGAGCTTGGAAGCCTAGTTATACAACTACAGAATTGGAACTTTATTTATTGGAGTCAGCACTGGTGGTAATGTGTTTTAGTCAGTTTTGTACCCTGAGCAGGATGGAAAAGGAGCGATGCTGAAGCAGAAGTGTCTGCATGAACATCTATCTGTGTTAGGGTCCCTGAGGCCCCCCTACCCACTCTTCACGCATGAACACTGCTCTGACCTCTGCCACAGGCACCAGAATTATTGCTTGAAGCATCTCTCCACCAGACAGTGGGCTTCCACAGGGCAGGGACTATGCGCTGTTCCCATGGCATCCTCAGCAGGAAGCACGTGCCTAACCCTGAGCAGGTGCACAAGGAGCCTTTGAATGAAGGAGTGGATGGATGTCGGCAGAATCATCACATTCACTGGCACTTTTCTGGTAGTTTAAAAACTGTTTAAGGAAAAAATTAGGAGAGCTCTTATTTTTCATTTTGTTCTTGTGAGCTAACCATACAGTTAACGAATGTGCATTTTTGCTGGGTATTTGGTAAGGAAGAAATGCCTATCACAGGACGCCAGCTAACCAGACCTCCCTGTTATCTTCTACCTGGGTGATGAGCAACCTATTTTGCATGAAGATCAATTTAGGAAGTGAAAATAAATCTGGCTGGGGGTGGGGAGGTGGATCTGTGATTCTTTTTTATTTGCTTTTTGTATTAAAAAATGCCCAAGAGAATTCTTCCAATTTAAATTACCTACTCTATTGAGTAATAGAATGTCAAAGAGAAAAATAAGTGCCTTTTAGCCACTACGATATTAATGTGGGCATGTTTGAACAGTAAATACTGGTAGCTTCTTTTTGTTCATGCCTTGAATTTATATAGCACTGGAGAGTCCAACAGCGAGATCATTTGCATTATCTGATTTCAGCCACCTGTTTAGAAGCAGATAATTTTATCATTTCCCTTGACAGATGCAGACATGGCGACTCGGGTGAGCCGGGGCTAAGAAATGTAAAGTTGGGCTCATTTCATTTAATGCAGCGCCCCCTGAGTGCCTACCCTGTGCCAAGGAGGTGAGTGGGGTGGGCTGCTCTCCCAATGCATCCTGCATCTCCTGTGGATGCAGAATCTCCCTCTGCTCAAGCAGGGCACAGCGAACCACCCGACACCGAATGACCTCTCAGGGTCCCCTCCAGGCCCAATGGCAGTGCACTATGCCCCAAGGGACTGTTCCCTCCAGTCTCCATCGCTGAGGCTGCCTGGCCCTGCCTGAGCTCACATGCCTGAGGATTGTTTTATAAAATTACTTTTTATTTAGGTGTAGACCCTGCCATATCCACATTCTACCTAAATGTACACCCAGGATGGCCTGCACGCTTTCTTAGTGCCTTATTTCTTCTCCTTTGTGTTTACCTCTTCCCTTCTCCTCTCACGTCAGCTGCCACCCCCTCAACCCATCGTGTGTCTCCTTCCTCCACATACATCTACAATCTTTATGTATCCTGTACAGATCTGTATGTTATTTAAATAATAGTAAGATGACAGATACATGCTTTTCTGCATCTTGCTTTTCTCCCTGAACAGTTCCTCCAGAAATCCCTCCAGGTCACGTGGCATAGCTCCAGTCCCTCCTTGTCACGGCCGCATACTATTCCCGATGTGAACACACACTATTTACCCAGCCACTCTCCTGCTGATAGGCGCTCCTGTCTCCAGGTCATGTGGCATAGCTCCAGTCCCTCCTTGTCATGGCCGCATACTATTCCCGATGTGAACACACACTATTTACCCAGCCACTCTCCTGCTGATAGGCGCTCCTGTCTCCAGTTTTTTGCCATTCTAAATAACACTGTAACAAACATCCTACTACACGTTACTTTACGTATTGGTACTTTTACTTCTACAGAATAGATTTCCTGGAGTGGGATCCCTGATTAGACCTATTTTTAATTCATAGAAATTGCCAGATTGCTTTCCTAAAAGCCTTCACATGTCCACTAGTAATGCACTAGTGGACATCTTTTCTCTGCCTCCCTTCTGGCTTTGGCTGGCAGCCCTCTTTATTTTTGTTAGTGTGATGCATTGAAAATGAGACCTTGCTGTTAATTTAACAGCACTTCCCTGAAGATAAGTGATTCTGTGCGTCTTTTCACGAATTTCCTGGCCATCCGATTTTGCTCTTAGGTCACTTGCCTGCTCATATTTCTTGCCCATGTTTCTGTTGGGTTGTTTGCCCTTTTCTCGGCAGTTTGTAAGAGCTCTTTGTGTGTTAGGGTGGTGGCTGATGATTCTAAAGCTTCTCTTCCAAGCCGAGATGGCTTCTCTCCCTCTGCACGGTAGGGGTGGTTGAAATGAGCTCAGGGCTTGTTTAGCAGGGCTACGAAGGCGTTATGACTTGTGGCCACACTGTGGGTCACCCTAGATATTGAGTTTGAACAGAAGAGTGTATCGAGCCAAAATGTAGCTGCGTGTGGAGGACTGAGAAGGTGAGGCAGTCCTGTACCGTGCTGCCTTCTACCGGTTAAGACCTCCGAGAGTGAAGGCCTGCCGAGGCAGAGGATGTCCCTCTGCCGCCCTCGGAGGGGCAGCCCTGTGCTGGCCGACATTTGTGATGCTGCTTGTCTCTGGCTCAGATGAGGCGTTCCACTAAGTCTCAAGGATTAAGACATCAAAATCAGTGCTTCTCGCCCTTGTTTCCAGCTTAGCTCTTCTAACAGATGGCATTCACGTATGTGGCACTCCTCTGGGCATCCCGGATTTTGTAGAAACTCAGAGACATCTTGCAGGGAGGTAAAGCATGACAGTAATTGGCCACCTCTGGCACTGTTAGGGGCACATCAGTAATGATTACTCAGACTTTGGCACAAGTCAGCGAGTCCGCAGCTTATGTACAATTTTCAACCCCCGGCTCAAGAAAGCGTATCAGAATGCGAAACGATAGTCTTGATATTATAGAAAAATGCTAAATTTCTTTTAATTCATAAAATAAATACAGGGATTCGTAATACTGTTCTCTCTACTTTTGTGTGTGTCTAGTAATAAAAAAAGGAACTCTGGAAAGATAAAATTCTAATGTAGAAGGGATGAAATTCTAAAAAAACAGTGTAGAGAAAATTTTAGATAAAGTTGGATGACAAAAAATATTTCTAAGACTAAAACCTGGTTCTGTTGACTAACCATAAAGGTTTACTAACCATAAAAAAATTATCCTTGAAGGTGGTCTGTAACTCCCCTCCTTGTCCCACCACTCCTGCTTTGGGGACTTTAGCTATTTAATAAAGCTCTGGGGAAATCTAGCCTTTAATTTCTACAGACCTTTTATACTAATTGGTCATCATAAGTAACCATATTCAAATCAATGCCTGTTGCATCAGAAGATATGTAAATAGCTGTTTTGTTTAGAAGAGGCCTGGTACTTGTCTTTTTTTCACGATTCTGGTAAATTCGTTATCTTTTTTTAAAATGAGAGAGAGATGTTAAATGTCATGCCTGATCCTGAATGGACTTGCTTGGTGGGAAAAAAATACTGCGGTTTAGAAAACTGTAATGCATCTGTAACAAGATTATTAGCAATTGAATTAAAAGCTTACACTAAATACTATTATTATAGCAACTTATTTTTCCTGCTCTCATCTTTGTCTTCAGTCACTCCTAGTTGCATTTACAAAAGAGATTCTGGAACTATCATTTCATTGCTGACAGTGTGAGTGGGCACTGGCTATCTCACCGTGCACGGTTCTCCCAACTTGGCCTTGATCTTCCCCTGAAATAAGGTCTCAGATGAGCTCCAAGAGTCTCTCGTGTGTTCTCTTCTTATTTTTAGACTTTCAAAGCAAATTTGTCTAGAATCACACATCGGGTCCTTTGTGAAGTTGTTTCCTAAAGAATAAACTTCACCTTTTCTATCCCCCTCTTGTTTGATAGGTTATCAGTGGTAAACTGTTTCCTAACAGAAAAGACTGTGATGATAGGCATTGCATTGGGATCCTCGTTTTTTCTTTTTAAAGATTGGCACCTGAACTAACATCTTTTGCTAATCTTTTTTTTCTTCTTCTTCTTCTCTCCAAGGTCCCCCAGTACACAGGTGTATATTCTAGTTGTGGGTTCTTCTAGTTATGGCACGTAGGACGCCACCTCAGCATGGCCTGATGAGTGGTGCCATGTCCGCGCCCAGGATCCAAACTGGCGAAACCCTGGGCCACTGAAGCAGAGCACGCGAACTTAACCACTGGGCCACGGGCCGGCGCCTTGGAGCCCTTTAACACAGATATTTTGTAGGACAAAGCAAGAAGCTACTACTTTTCTTCCTTAATTAAAAGTATTGACCGATCTTTCATCTTGCAAATATATGGGGGGGGGGGCCCATTTAGTTGGGATGAGCAGTATAGAAAACTAATTTATTTGTTTTACGACTTGAGCACCTATGAGAGGGTCTGAAACAATGAATGCCAGGACAGGGCCCTAGCCAGTACTTCTAGGATCTGTCCTTAAGGCTGGTTAATTGAATTCCTCTTGCTCAGCTGCCTGTCTTCTGAATTTACCCCCAGCACTGCTGACGCTTATGCTGCAGCTTCTACCTGAGGACCTGGGTTGGCTGGAAGCCCGGAGGCAATGAGGACGTGGCCCGCCATCTAATTTAAAGGTAAACGTTTAGAAAGCTGCTTTGTCTATTGCTATTTCCTAAATGGGCATATTCTAAAACATTTTAATGGCTTTTGGTACTGCCAATTTTCTCATAAGCGTATTGTCTTTAAAATCAGGAAAACAAAGATTTTTATCATGAAAAAGCACCCTCATTGAAAGCTTTTTAAAAGGTGACTTTAAAAAATGCACTTTTGCCCCTAAAGTTTAAGAAACAAATTTTTCATCCCCAAAGCTTTATTTTCCCCACCTTTCTAACGTTTGCTCTGCAGCATTGAGAGCAGAATACAAAAGGGAGCCCAGTGCTCTTATTCTGAAGAGCGTGGACAGTAACTCGTAGGCGAGAAAGGAGCCTGGTGCGAACCGATGCGGCCACGCGGCCCTGATTTCGCCAGTTCTTTCCATTTGAGAAGCGTGGCCGCCCAGTTTTAGTCTAAGTACTTGTTGGCTGGGGACCCACTTGATTTCTAAGAGAATTCCTAGTTAAGGAAAGAGGGCTAGACGTTGCTGACATTTTGCCGCGGAATCAACAGGTAATACTGACAGAGAGCCCCGGGTCCCCGAGGTGCCCGCGGGGTTTCCAGCCGTAGTCGCGGGGGGCAGGTTCTGCAGGCTGGCGGCAGCCTCGGGAGCCGCGGGCGCGCGTGTAATGCTGTCGTCGTTGTGCTTACCCTTCCCCGCGGAGCAGGCGCTGCGGAGGATGCGGAGCGGCGAGCCGCCGGGGACCATGGACGAGAGCGGCGCGCCGGCCGAGGCGGCGGCGCAGGGCGGCCCGTGCCCGGGGCTGGCTCCCGCGCCCGCCGGCCGCCTGGGGGCGCCCTACTCCGAGGCCTGGGGGTACTTCCACCTGGCGCCGGCGCGCCCGGGCCACGCGGCGGGCCGCTGGGCCACCTGCCGGCTGTGCGGGGAGCAGGTGGGCCGCGGGCCGGGCCTCCAGGCGGGTGCGCCGGCGCTGTGGGAGCACCTGAAGAGCGCGCACCGGCGGGCGCTGGAGGAGGCTGCCCGCCGCTCGCCGCCCGCGCCTGCGCCCGCGCCCGCCGAGGGCGAGTGGGCGCGCCTGCTGGAGCAGATGGGCGCGCTGGCCGTGCGCGGCAGCCTGCGGGAGCGCGAGCTGGCGCGGCGCGAGGCGGCCGTGGAGCAGGGCGAGCGCGCCCTGGAGCGCCGGCGGCGGGCGCTGCGGGAGGAGGAGCGCGCGGCGGCCCGGGCGCGCCGGGAGCTGCAGGCCGAGCGGGAGGCGCTGCAGGCGCGGCTGCGGGAGGTGAGCCGCCGCGAGGGCGCCTTGGCCTTGGCCGCTGCGCCGCCGCAGACTCCGCTCAAAGAGGAGCCCGACGGGGAGCGGGATGGCTGCTTGGTGACCAGGGTCCTCCTGTAGCTGCCCCTCCACCCCCACGCCAGCGCCCTTCCCAGCGCGCTCCGCGGACAGCGTCTCCAGCATCACCTGGGAGCTGAATCGAGGCCCGCTGCCACCTCGCCGAATCGCAGTCTTCAGATGTGGGCCCTTGAGAAGCGCTTGGGGAGCCAGAGCAGAACCAGAAGTCACTTCTGCTCTGGGGTGCCGGGGGCCAAGCTCCAGCCGCCGTCTAGTGGGCTTCTGTGCGGGGGTGGCCTTCCTCGGGGCGCCTTCGGAAGTGAGCGCTCCAGCAGCCCGGTGAACCCTGATCACCCGGAGCCGTGGCCACCTTGTACCTGTTACTTCGAAAGGACGGACGCTTCCTTACACACCAAAGACTGTCACACCACGTGCCTGTACACCTGGCAGGGCAACCCAGGGTGGAGAGTGCATGGAAATGAGGCCAAAGCGGTTTACCCAAAAGAGAGTTACTCGTTTCCTGATGAGTGAGTCTTTAATGGGTAGTCGCTGCTCAACACCAAGTTCTGAAAAGGGGGCCAGTAGTTAGCCTCCCCGTCTCGAGTGCCTCCTCAGGGCCATCCCAGAGAGGCCCTCTGTCAGTCCCCGCAATGCCAAGTGCAGCCGCTCTCTCCCCTGCCTGTCCTCTCTCCCGTCCAGACCCAGTGGCAGCTGTGGTAAGCTTCCCCCCTTCCCGCCTCACACCTCCTGCCACAGGGCTTGACCTCCACCTCTGGTCACTGCGGTGGGGGCTTCCGTCCCCACAAGTCTCCACAGTGCTCATTTCTGGGCCAAAGGAGGAGGCTCCGTCCCATCTGAGGCCACCGGGTCCTCTCCCTGGGCCTTTGCTCCCCTGGTGCTCCTCCTCTCCTCTGTCTCCTTCCCTCCCTTTCCCCAGACTCCTCTTTCTCAGCAACACCCATCTCCCTCATACTGAAAAGAAAGACCCCCTGCCTGGATGCTGCCGACTGAACAGCGTCCAAGGAGGTTACTAGACCTTGCTGCCATTCTTTCCTCCTTCACTCCGTGCACAGCTTCCCCAATACGCTGGACTCTTTAAGAGGCCGCCACAATCTCCCAGTGCCAAAGGGGGTGATTTATTTTCAGCCTTCGTTTTGCTCAAGCTCTCCCTTCTTGAAATTTCTCCCTTGGTAGGTGGAATTTGCTCCTCCACAGAATTCCTTTTGCTGATGTAGACTCATTCCCAAACAGTTTTTCTTCAGGTCTTTTTTTCCTCATTTTTTTATATTGAAAAATTTCAAGCATCCAGGAAAAGCTGAAAGGCTAGTACAATGAGTACTCATAGAGACCCTCCGCCTAGACTGAACAGTTGTTAACATTGTGCCACATCTAATTTTTCTGCCCTCCACCGCATACATGCCTGACATTTCATCCCTATTTCAGCGTGTATCTCCTAGGGATAATAAACACATTCTTCTGCATGCTTACGATTTCCTACTAGCCTCTAATATAGGGTCCTTAATCAAAACTCCCCAATTGTCCCAAGAATGGCTTTTTATCTTTTTTTAAAAAGAGTCCAATCAAGGTTCAACTCTTGTACTATTTTTTTCCGTGACACACTTTTTGAAGAGTCCTGACCACCTGTCTTACGGAATGTCCTGTGTTCTGGATTTGTCCGATTGTTTCCTTAGGCCATCTGACGCACTCATTCTTGGCTCGTCTGCCTGTAGAGCGACACTAATCACTCCGGTGCCAGCGACTCCTGACTGCCTCCAGCCCTGAGTGCTCTCCCGGCGCCGTCCTTCATGTTCAGTCCTCTCTGCATGTCTCACCTCCGCTTGCATAACCCATCACTACAGGTGGGAGGGACACAGCTGTTCCACTCCCCATCGCCACCCCTCACCCAATCACTAACATTTCCTGGGCTCTTAAATGTATCAGGCACATGCTGCACACCTGACATGTGTTGTCTCACTCTTCTCACAGCAGCTCCCTGGGGAGGGATTAGGACCATGCCCATTTTACAGCTAAGGAGACTGAGGTAGGGAGGGGTAAGTAGTTTGTACAAGATCACACAGCTGGTAAGTAGTGGAGTTGAGATCCAAATCCAGTGTCCACCTCCAGAGGCCATGCTCCTAGCAGCTGTCCTGTCTCCCTTGTTACTCAGTCACCGGGCGGATAGCTGTTTCCTTCCTCCAATTCCAGGCAGTACCATCAGTGACATGTACTGAGCATTCACCATGTGCCAGGGCTGTGCTAAATGCTTTACAAGGATAATTGCCTGCCACGCAGCAGCCCCAGGATGTAACTGCTGTTATGCCCACTTTGTAGAGTCAGGCCCAGGGGAGCTAACTAATGTCTTCACAGTCACACAGCTGCTAAGAAGCAGAGTGGGATTTGAACTCCAGTCTCACTGAATCCTAGGCCCCTGATCTACTGAGTGCATTTCTACAAAATATCACAGCTGTCTTCCTCTGATGCCAGCTGCCCAGCGCAGGCCCCATTTATCATTCGTCTGGGGTTCATCTTCCCATCCTTGTCTTCCTCCACTGCCTCCTGCCTAACACACAACTTGGCCAAAGGAACTGTCCTAAGCCAACAGTGATCATATCACGTTTTCTGCTCAAAAGCCGCCAAGATCACCCGTCATCTACAAGCTTGGACTCCGTGGCCTGACAGTCAAGCTCCCCACGCTGTGCCAGTCTGACCAGTCCCCTCTACCTACTCTGTAAGCTCCAGCCAGACTGCACTCCTTGTTCTTCCTGACGTGCCCTGGTCTTGGCACCTCTATGCCTGTTTGCCTTCCCTCCACTTAAAAAACCCCTTCAATTCTGAGTATGAAAGATCCCACCCATTTTCTGAGACCAAGCCTACACTCAGCGGCCTGCATGAAGCTGGCTTTGATTCCTCACTTAGTGGATTCCTTCCTGCTCTGGACTCATAGCATTTTGTATCTCACAAACCTTAGAACAGGGATCTAGCATACGCTTTGTGGATTCTTGTACGACGCCCTTACCAGACCTTGAGCCTTTGGGGGTAGGAATGGAGTTTACTCATCCTTCTACTCCCACAGTGCTTTGCAGATAATAGCTGCTCAAATATTTGAGGCATTGAACCCACTCAATGTATTAAAGATTTTTACAAGTTAGTTTTCCCATAATTATATTAATAATTATTCATCTTTAGTTCTGAGTAGAATTCATAATAGGAAAAATAACCTAAAAGGAAATAGCAGTAATACTTTTTTTTAAAGCTATTTAATCAACAAAGATTTAGTAAGTGTCGGTTATTGGGCTGCTTGGTTTGAATTCAATCAACTATTCCAGCATGTCATTATCAGGAGTGTTTTTCGTAAAACAACTTTTTTCATTATACAAGTAACACGAAAGCAATACCCCAATCTACAAAGAATGGCAGAAAAAAAAGAACTCCCCCACAGTCCTGTCACCTCGGTAAAATGGCTATTGGTATTTTAATGTAGTTTATTTGTCTTTTGCAATTTTTACATTACTCTAATAATAGTATAAGTTATTTCTCTTAAGTATGGAAATCTAACTTAATGTGGATTTGTAAGTTGGGCTATAAGATCTGAATCTGGACTTTTCAGAAGAAGACAAATCTACAAATGTTATTTCTTTTTTTTTTTTCCTTGAGGAAGATTGTTGCTGAGCTAACGTCTGTGCCAATCTTCCTCTATTTTGTCTGTGGGACACCACCACAGCATGGCTTGATGAGCAGTGTGTAGGTCTGCACCTGGGATCTGAACCTGTGAACCCTGGGCTGCCGAAGCGGAGCATGCGAACTTAACCACTGCACCATCAGGCTGGCCCCTGTTATTCTTCTATTTCATCAATTGTTAGAACCATTAAAATAAGCAAAGATTTACTTTTAGAGTCTTAACTGCTCCCTCAAGAAGGTTGGCTAAGGGGAGCGCCAATTGCCTGTTGAGGGGCAGGAGAACAATTACCCTGACTGGTGACTGAGTGCTGGCTGTGGGAGTTGAGATACTTTACTTCCAGCTTTATACACTTCTGTACTGTTATAATTTTTATACCAAGCATGAATACTTTTATAATAAAAAATAAAATTACTTACATTTTGCAAATGGAAACTCCTCACGATTAGCATTCAGCTTCCTTAGTTAAAATAAACAAAACCTGCAACACGAGGACTGACGTAATCCCCACTTCCAGAAAATCCTAGAAAGAAACATAGCCCTTGTGCAGTCCAACTCTGTCATCTAACAGAGGAGAAACAGAGTGGCCTGTCCACTCTCAGGAGACAGTGGCTATGGCGGCTCACCTGCCTCCAGCCTCAACAGACAGGCTGCTGCTTTGGCCTTAAGGGCTTCTGCTCACTCACCTGGCAAAGCAAGAGGGCTACCTGGAGCAACCAGCCGAGCTGGCAGCCCGATGTCAGCTAAGCCGTGGGACTTGAGTGGGCACAGGTGGGTTCCAGGGATTGCATCGGCCTCTCTGGCTGTGGCACAGCCTGCTCACAGAGAGATGTCACTGCCAATGGGTGAGTGACATACCTTGCCTACATCCGCAGGGCTTCCCTGGATTTAGGCAACAGCTTGCTACTTGGACTACCTGGGTACTGCCTTTGAGAGCAATGCATGCACTGCATTAGTGAGGTGGATGGGATGCTGGAACCAGACTGCCCTGAACACAATTCCTCCACTCCTGCCATGATGTAGAGTGATCAGTCACTTCTTTCGGTTGACATGTGGCAGGGAGGAGGGAGTGTGGGCAAAGCAGGGTAATGACAACTGAGCCTAGAACAGCTGGGGCCCTGTACACACCCAAGTTATCATCCTTAGAGGCTGGAAAAGGGGAGGGTTGGCTGGTTTGAGCTGAGTTTCTACTTTACATAGCTGTCCATGTCTCAGAAGGGAGTCATAAACGCTGGGCTTTTGATTTTGTTTCGTTTTGCTGCCGTGGACTCCTCGGGGAACTCTCTTTCTAAAGGTTTGACCATCTTACCTTTCCACAGCCCGAATCTGCTCCCCTTTGGCTCTAATATGCTATGATCATGTGAAATATAGTGAAACATCAACTAAACTTTGAGTGAATCGGTTGCTCTGTTTAATTGGATTTTCTCGACTGCAGACTTAGAAAAAAATGTTGAAAGTCACATATGTACGCTTGTTACTAAAAACAATAGGAGTATAGCAAGCTTCTTCCACAGTACTGCAGTACTACTATCAGATTCACTACCTAGAAATGAAAATGTGTGCAGAGCAATCAGCACACTCTCGCGTACTCTACTCTTTGTCCTCATGACACCCTGCAGGCAGGGCAGGTGTAACTGTCCATATTTAATAAATGAGGCCCCACACTTCAGCAAGGTGAAGGGACCCTCTGAACACCACACAGCTAGGAAGTGGCAGATTGCAGGCTGGAGCTTGATCCCCGGATCCCAGTAACACCTGTGGCCAAACAGCTGCACTTGCTTCCAGGCCTCTCTCGGCCCACGTTTCAGCGGTGCCGGGGCCTCTGGATCCTGGCCTGAGTGCTCGCTGACACTTGGGCTGGTGTTGGCTACTCCCACCCACGACCTCTGGTGCTGGGGGAAGCCAGCCAGCTCTCCGAGAGGAGACAAGGTCAGCCTCTGTATCCTCATTGCTGCTTTAACAAATTACCAGAAACTTCATGGCTTAAGACAACACAAAGGCATTACCTTGCAGTTCTGCAGGTCAGAAGTCTGAAATGGATCTCAAAGTGTTGGTAGGGCTGCATTCCTTTCTAAAAGGCTCTAGGAGAGAATGCGTTTTTTGCCTTTTCCAGCTTCAAGAGGCTGCCCACATTCTTTGGCTTCTGGCCCCTTCCATCTTCAAGGCCAGCAAGGGCCAGTCCTTCTCACATTGCCTCACTCTGCCTCCGTCTTCCACATTTAAAAGACACTCTCCTTATCTTCAGGTCAGCTGGTTAGCAATCTGATTCCATCTGCAAACTGAATTCTCCCCTGCCTGGTGACATATTGACAGGTCCCAGGGATTAGCACAGACATCTTGGGGGGTATTATTCTGCTGCCACAGGCATGATACTGCCTGGCACGGTCTGGGGCATGTGTGAGAAAGGCATGTGCTTGATGGGAAGCCCCTCTTCCTCAGAAATCAATACCTTACTGGAGGTCCTAACCTCTCCCCTCTTATATCTTAGTCTCTCTGCCCAGGGCAGGGAGCACTCAGACTTTTCTGAGACAGAAAGTTGGAAGTTGGGTATGAAGGATCCCTCTCGGGGGGAAGAGGCCTCCATAGTTCTGAGAACCTTTGTAAATTCGTGCACTGACTAAGACCCCGCTGACTTGTACCTGCGAGGAGCTGATCACGCCTTTGGAGCCCAATGCGAATTCAAATCTAAGCTGCTAGCCATGTGTGTTAGCTGTCACCTTGGCGACCACCTTAAGCCCTCTGAAACCCAGTTTCCTCATCAGTAAAATGAGGACAACACATACCTTACAGAGTCGTCATGAGGACTAAGTAAGCTATTTAGGCAAATTCTGACATGTAGTTTAAACTCAGTAACTACAGCTTCTATTTCTCTTCCTTCTCTGAATGGGAGCTCAAAACCAATCCAAAGGAGCTCAGAACAAGCAGGTTCCCTGGGGAGATCTCCAAGAGCAGCTGCACACCAGCCACAAAGGTTTGCCAAGTCACTTTCCTTCAGGATAGAAATATTTTTCTGTCAAAACATAAACTTCATGCCTGATTTGCGAAATACACAAATCCAGTCAAAACTCAGTACGACTCGTGACTACAAAGTAATCTGACCAACCTTACAAGTCAATATATCAAAACCTATCCATTTGAGTACTTTCCCTTCAAAGAAGTCACCTTGGGAAAGCATACAGTAGTTCCAAAAATGCTTCCCTGCTTAAAACATTTCTGGAACTCCTCCTTTAGAGTAGCCCTCGGAGTCTCTGGCACATTCTTTAAAACATCCTTAAGTTGGCAAATATCCATCTTTCCAAGAAAAATTAGATTTTTAGAAGAGCTGCCAGTTACTCAGAGCCCAGGCTGGCGAATATGGTGCTGATTAACCAGATTAACTTTTCTGGTTAATCAGGTGTGGTTACAATAAAGCAACGATGATTATTTTTGTGTGGCTCATAAATTGGCCTTGATAGTGTTGTATACTAAGGTTAAGTAAAGGGAGCATGGTCATAGTAGAGATTAAAGCCCATTTTAGTGGGTTTATGATGTGAATGAATTCAGATAGCACTGGGAGTCATTACATATTTAAATAGTATTAAATGTTTCCTTTTATGAAAATCTTAATTATGACATTCTCTGAAATCTGATTTCACAGTATTAAAATGAAGGCTTTAAGGAAAAGCATTAAATGTTAATGAAAGTTTTATTATTTCAGTATATATTCTCCTGGGCCTTTGGTCAAGATAAGTAATGATCAGGTGAATGAGCTGGCAACCTTCCTGGCCTCTGAAGTCTACCAGTAATTGGAAGCTAAGTAACACACTGTCACATGTTTAAATACATTTAATAATATTCCACCAACTTCTCTGTGTCTTTTGCTTTCTGGGCAATGAAATACCAGAGCATTTTTACGTGGACAAAGAAAGCTAGCTTTTTATTGGGAGAGTTTCTGAAAAGGCATTCTCCCTCAGCAGGCAGAAGACAGTCTGCCTCTGTTCACATTAACCTCCCCGAGTGTGTCTGCTCCCCATCCTCCAGGGACTGGTTGATGTACATGTTCCCCATCCACGCCAATTTCCAGTGACCTGATTCACGTTGCCTTTTTTTTTTTTTTTTTTTGTTCTTCAATGATTTATTGTTCAGATTTAGAACCACAAAATCCAAAAGTCTGAGCAGGCAGTTACTATTCTTCTCAGGTAATCAGAAGAGAGAGAGAATGAAATGAAGGACTGCAGCCTCAGTAAGGTTTTGCTGTTGTCTACATATCCAAAACCCTCAAAAACACGGCTAAAAGTTTTTTGAAGGCAGACTTTATAAGATTTCCCTAAAAAGGTCTGGTTTCAGGACAGATCTGAAAACAATTTTTAAAAAATTGCTCCCTCGCCCTCTGCCCCAAGAACTTTGGCTTTTGAAAATACTTTGAAATGAACAAAAACTGTTTTGGATTAATACTCTTTTTGGAACTATCAAGGCCTTCACGTGACTACTTGGCCTTTACATTCTACCAAATACTATCTAAAAATAAATGTTAGCTCCAAGAAGGCAGGGCGTCTTGTCCGGTTTGTTGACTGCTGCACCCCAGGCCTAGAATAGCACCTGGCTGTGCAAGTGCCTCAAGACTCTGCTGAACGAACGCACGCTGTTCAAAGATCTTTATGTGAAAGGATCTGAAATCTCCTATTTCTTGGAGTTCTCCCTGCAGCTTCCCTGCTCCCACAGGGTACAGGGTAGGCCTGCTAGATCTTTCTATCCTGTCTCCAGAGGGCTCCAATTCTGAAGTCATGCAGAACCCACTCCTTCGAGGATAACGAGGGTCACCTACAGTACCTTCTACCCTTTCTCATTGTCTTTCTCACTACGAGTCTGCTGCTCATTCTCCAATATTCATTAAGAGATCCAGCTCCTGACCCAGTCTTCTGGTCCACACCTATCTCCTATCATCTCCTCGGAGAATGAAGATGACCATCCACTCACTCACCTCATCCCTCACCTTCCCTCACTTCAATAACCACCATCTCCACTCCAGGATTCTACTCCTACAACTGTGCCCTTGACACTGGTAGCATGGCATAATACTACTAATAATTGCTAATATTTGAGGGCTTCTTATGCGCCAGACAATATGTTCAGTGCCACACAGGCTTTATCTCATTTACACTCCCCAACAACCCCATGATGACGTTAGGGTAGAGAAGTTTAAATAAATCTTTAAATGTCACTCAGCTCAGGAGTGGTGGAGCTGTCATTTGAACCTAGGTAAGTGAGACTCTTCAGCCTGTGCTCTTAACTGTCCCACTGGGATGAAAAGAATCAAGATTTAACCCTACCTCTGCCACTCTGTCACACAGGCTTCCTGACCTTGAGCAAAATAAAAACCTCTCTAAGCCTCAGTTTTCTGATTCATGAAATACTGGCAGGCATAAAGATGATTTATGTTAAGTGCCTACCACAATGCCTGACATACCGTGAATGTGTGTCCGTCCATCCTATCAACAAATGCTTACTGAGCACCTCCTAAGTACCTAATCCTGTGGTAGGTACTGAAGACACAGCAGTGAGTAAGACAACAAGGTCCCTGCCTTCACAGGTCTGCACAGCACCTATGGGTGCTCAATCAATATGTGACAGATGGAACAAGCCCTCCAAGGAGATCTGCCAGTCTCCACCCAGCCTCCCTTCAATCAGCCAAGTTATTCTGCTATAAAGCAACCTAATGAGTGCCCTTCCTTGCTTAAAATTCTTCACAAATTCTTGTCAAAGAGATAAATCCAAATTTCTTAACAAAATATGCAAGAATGGCTGTGGGTAAGTGACTCAGTTCCTCTCCCCACCTCACGCCCTCTTCTTTAAGCAGTGAAACCCTTTCTTCATAGGTAATCTATTTGGAAGACTGAATTGAAACCCAGATCAGTGTAAACCTATTCTGGAAACAGCACGAGCCCTTGAGTCACCAGTTTGGCATCTTCCTGTGGATCATGGTGGAGGATTTGCAAACCACTGCTCTACATCCTCTTCGTAGCCTCAGTTCCTGGCATGTTTCCTCAGTTGCATAAAACTATCCGTAAAGGCACCTGCAGTTCTACAAACCCACCGTGCTCTTTCACTTTGAGGCTACAAGTGTATATGCCAGGCATGGTGCTAGGCACTAGGAATGCAGTAAGTGAGCAAAACCAAGGTCTTGCCCACATGGCACTTAGGAATCTAGACAACTAGCATACCAATCACACAAATTAATATACAACTGTGAACCAAAATAAGTAGTCTAAACAAAACAAATAGGGATTTCCAAGAACATTTATCAAAGGCAATTAGACTAGGGGGACAAAGGAGGCCTCCCTGAAGAAGCAGCAATTAGCAGAGGTCTAAAGAATACGTCAGAGGGAAGAAGGTAAAAGTCTGGAGGAAGAGCATCCCAGACACAACAGAACACAAGCGCCCTGGGAGGACAGGGCACGGCACGTGTGAGGAGCTGAAAAGAGGGCCAGCGTGCTGCAGCCCAGAGAAGAAGGGGGAGAGTGACACAAGGAGGACTGGAAAATGTGGCAGTGGCTAGACCAGGTGGGGTTTTATGGGCTAGGGTTTTGTGTTCTGTCCTCAGAGTAACGGGAAGCCAAGCCACTGGAGGACTGAAACAGAGATGACGAGACAGGAGCTGTGAAGAAACTTCGTCTGCAGTGTGGATGGACTGGAAGGAGGAAGGCGGGACTGCAGGCAGACCTGTTAGGAGGCTAGAGGAAGAGTCCCAGGGAGTAGTGACAGTGAATTGACTTAACACACTGGAAATCAGGGGGAAGGCAGGAGCGGAACAGAAGCTGACTCCTAGGCTCCGGATTGCATGACTGGACAGATGACGCTGCCAGCTGACAGAGTGAACTGGAAGAGACCGGACTTGGAGAAGGCTGTGTTCACTCCTCGATAAAGCGGCCTTTAAGGTGACTTTGAGTTGGAGATGTATCCTGGCTAAAACAACCTGGAAGTCCCAGGTATATAGATGGTAAAGGCAAATGGGTACATGAGAGTCAAATGTCTGGGGTTGAGCCCCGAAGGCCTCTCCACTTCCTGGAGTTGCATTCCTACTTATTGTAAATGTGTGTGAATACACAGAGCTAACGACACAATTACACCTGCTTTAAAGTTCAAATAAGGAAATAATGAAAAGTGAAAGTCCACTCACTCCTTGGGTGATTAATATTAACAATTCAATACATACCCTTATATATATATTTTTTAAGTGGGATTATGCGATACATACGTTTCTACAATCTGCTTTTTAAAATCAGCACTGCAATGAGAATGCTCTTCTCCATCAGAGTATAGATAGTTCTAGCTTACTCATTTGCAGGGCTGCAAAATATTACACAGCAGGGCTGCATCACAGTCTAACCAACCACCCAGTCCCCAGTGATGGACAGTTGGGTCGCCCGCCCACTCAACATCCACCGTTCCTTCTGCCTTGCTCACTGAACCCCACCTCTGTCCCAGCAGCAACATGGTCAGCCCCAGTGATGGCTCCTGACTGGCCTAAGCCGACTGAGGCCATCCTGTTGCCCACCTTCTCCACTTCCCTTGCAGCAGCTACGGGTAGTCACATGATCAGGTGCAGGCTAAGGACCCCAAGGAGAAGTTGCTGTGAGAGCTTCTGAGCAAGCTTTTGCTTTCCTGATGAAAGAGGACTGACCCAAACATCGCTCTTTCCCATTGCTTCCTGTTTTGGACATGAAAATGATGACTGGAGTCTCAACAGCCTTTTTGCAACCACAAGGCCATAAGCCAACACTGAGAATAACAGAGCAGAAAGGCAGAGAGAAAGCCTAGGCCCTGATACACACAGACACACACACATACACTGACTCATTTTAGAGAATCCAAATGTATTTCCACTTCAAAGTCAGAAAAAGCAAAATGAAATGTTGGGGGATCAAAGATTCAGAGCAGAGATATAAGTAATGCCCTACAAAAATAAGCAGCACACTTAGTGCAAGATGATGGGGAAAATACTTTCAACTGTTCCTGAGAGCACCTTTAGGTGTTGGGTCCAGAAATGCCTTTCTGGCTCCCTGCCAAGCACATCCCTCTGTCCTGCAACTTGACAGGATGGCCTTTGTACACAGACTCTGACACTTCTTGCATTCCTTTGTTTGAGATTTCTATCTTCTTTTGCCTGCAATTTGAAAATGTGCCAAATTAAGAAATAATCTTTTACATGAAAAGTTGAAAGGTGTTTGATTTAGGTGAGCCATTGCTTTTCATAATGTCACCACTAGAGTAAGAAGGAAACATCAGAAGTAAAAACTTTTAAAAGCAAAAAAAAAGAAAAAAAATCCTTTCTGAGAAAAAGTGCTTCCTAGCTATTTAATTCTGGAAAACAATTTCTGTTATTTTACTCCAATATTGATGGTTTCTTCTGTTCCCAATTTTGCCAGTTTCTCATGGTTCTGGCACAAATATAAGATGTTAGATTTTGCAAAATTCAGCAACTTGTAGCTCCACTTAAACACATAAAGGCTATTAAATTAATAAATGTAAACTTTGTAAATAAACTGTAATTTAAGATATTAGACACAAAACAATTTTATGTGTAATCCAAATTGTACATAATTCACATCTATGCTTCTAAACAAATAGAAGCTCACATTTGTACTTTTACAATTTACAAAGTGCTTTTATATACATTTTCTCATTTTCTATTGAAGACAGACATGTGAGATAAGTGTTATTCTTATTCCACAGATGGAAACAGACCCAGATATTAGTCAGTGCTTTAACCACTATGCAGTGTAGCCCTGAGACTTTACATCTGCAAAGCGTTTTAATAATGCAAATATCACACATATTTCAATTTCTGTCACCATTTTTAAATTTCCATTTTCTTAACAAAAAACAATGAAAAATTTTTCTGCAATCTAGTAATAAAAATGAGAAATATTACCTAGACAGTTGTATACTACCACAATGAGTGAGATCCACCAGAAGCAAAGTCTACTAACTATATACAGGGCACCAGTATCAGAACTACACTGACATGAGTAATTTTTTCTATTTTAGAAAAAATAATACAGGATACTCCTGTTGCCTCCAAGTCTAATGGTGTGTGTGTGTGTGTGTGTGTGTGTGTGTTAGGGTGTGTAGATGGCCAAGAAGGATACAGAAGAATACTTTATCAGCTTTGGAGTAACAGGGCCTGCGGTTATCCCAGCTTAGGCCTACAGGGACTTGACAATTTGCTTGGCCATGTCTCATCTTTAGTAATAAACTTATTTTTCTTTCCTCGTCCCCCTTTCTTCCTAAATACCCTGTACCATTTGGACTAGAAATTCCAACAGGTAGACTTTCTTTCTGAATTATCTTCCCTACTGTATAATTTTTTTCAGAATTTTCCTTTCCTATTTCTAAATCTTGAAGACATTTTTTTATAGTAGATGAGGGAGCTATAGCTCATATTCACTGTCAGGAAAGGGTCAGTTCCAGCAGTAATTTCCCAGCAAACAGCTGAGAGAAAAGCTGAACAGCGAGGGATAGCACAGCGGTCAGTGGCAGAGCAGTGACACCTGCACGCAGGGAGCCGCACTGCAGCTCTCCCCTGCTCCACGGGAGCTTTCTTCCTGCTCTGCAACTGAAAGAGGAAAACTCGGGCTGGTCATGAGTTCAAAGCAGACCACTGTGTTTAAATCACTGGTTCAATTAATCACTCTTCTGATGTCATAATGTTTTTATTGCATTTCAGGACATTTTTAATAAACATCTTGAGTTTGACACCTTGACTAGGTAATCCTTTTGCAGTAGAAATCAGATTTCTCTGGCACGACTCCATTGCCAGCAATGGGATTTATCAAAACTACAAATGCCAGCACATTGAATATTTCAATACCGTACTCAATTGTCCATATCTAAATATTTCAGCTATGAAACAAACCAAATGCAAATGCTTAATATATAGTACAAATAAACAGATTCTTCACAGAAGAAAACAATGAAAGACTAATTTTCCACAACATGTCACCTGGTCATTAGTTCTTCAATACTATTACTTAGGTCATCTCAAGAATGATAAAATTTATGCACCACTACCCATGTTTTTCTCAACATTTTTTATCTAAGTTCTAAAGGGCAAAAACAAGGATGCTCCTAGTCAGAACTGTTTTTATAAACTTCTGATGTTTCTTTTGCTGTGCATCGTACAATAATGAACATGGAGACAAGGACAAATGCATATTTAAGCCATAGTGGTTACATGAATTCTGCTTATACGGCTAGGTGCTTATACGAGTCTTGTAAACGACAAGATAAAATAATAAAGTTTCATAAGCTCATCCACGCCCTGTGAACGTTAGTCCACTCACAGCGTAACTTGATTCAGTCACTACTTATTAGTTTTAAAAAATGCTTCTTACAAGCTGCAAACCACCCTTTATTACACATTGCTGAGTCATGAGAGGGTAAACTGTGACACAGTTCCCTCATGCCACTGACTCTTTTGGAGGGAAAAGTCTGCAATAAAATAAAGTTTCCAAACCCTCTTTTTCAAAAGCTTGAACTGTGTCCTAGGACTGACCTTCACTCTGTAGTCCCTTTCACCCAAGGCGCGCTCCCTGGTGCATCTTTTTGAGGTTTAGTTTCTGGGAAGTTTTCAGCAAACCTTTCTCGCGCTTTCTCCCAGTTCTTTTTGCTCTTGCTTTGGAGAAGGTGAGCATCTTCAACTGAGGATGGTTTGCCTGTCCCCAAACCTGCATGTGTTCGCCGGAGCTGCAGCTCTATCTGTTACCAAAAGTGGAGCAGACCACTTACTGGAGCGTTTACACACATTGCAATCTGTTGTGTCCAACCTGATACTTTTCAATTTTGATTTAGAAAAACATTGATGCAAAAGGAAAACCTGTCAAATTCATCACATATATACAAGAATACATACATGACTACACACGGAACTTCAACTCATTTTTCTACATTGTCTTCCCTGTCACTAAGTACAGCTGATTCTACAGGAAATGGAGTGCTCTTTCAATAGCAACCACCAAGTTTCATGGAGATGCTGCAGAATATGTCATCCTACTCTAACCAGAAGTCAAGGCAATGGATGTGTTTCAAAGTACTGTCCTAGCCTCACCTAAGTAAGTGAACAGGTAGGTTAAACATGAAGAATCATAAAGAGAATTCGATTGTTTATTTTCACAAAAGTAGGGGAGGACTTCCCATTATCTTGAGAACCATAGCTACCAGTTGCTGAGTGCCTAATATATGTCAGGCACCATGCTAGGGGCTTTATCCTCATGACATCCCTAAAAAAGTTATCATCCCCATTTTTACATATGAAAACAGAAATCGAAACTTGCCCTCAGTCACACAGCTGGCGAGTGAGAGGACACATACTCTAACGAAGGTCTGACCACAATCCCCATGTCCTTCCCATTGTACCTCAATGAAAATGAGAAAATTTACATTAAACTCACACTAATCCATCCACTACTTCTTTAGGTATCAAGCAATTATCAAGAAAGTTCTTTCGTCATGTTCGCTTGTAAGGTTTTTGTGAAAGATAATCTGAACCTCCAATGAACCTTGGGACTACAGAATTAAACCGCTGTACTATTTCCCAGACATTCTCTATTGCTTGTTACATGCTCTGATTCTTGAACCTAAAACAGATTCTCCAGCTAATACAGAATCTGCCTGTTTGTAAAGTAACATTGTGACTGTTCCTGCAATGTTTAGTACCAGGCATAATAAGGAGGTCCTTAAAAACAAGTAAAAGACACAGAAGACCTTTGGCTCAGGAAATAATATTTACTATCCTAGCTTTGATAAAGGAAAAGACTCTGAGAGGCTTCCTAAAACAAAATAAAACCATGCATACATTTGGTAACTGGGAATGCCATTAAGGCAGTAGCCGTGCCTGGTTTTGCTTGCTTCTATTCTCCTAGCTCTCAAGGTAAAGCTCGGCACGTGGTAGGTACCCAGTATGTATATCTGCTGTAAGAATTAAGAATGAAATAACACACAAGTCTTACCGGAGTTTTCATTCCTCCACCATCCTTCCCGAGGCCTTCTCCTTTCTTCCAACCCATCTTCTCCAACATCTTCCGACCTTTGTTGCTATCAGTAATTTCACTTTAAAGAAAATTAAGATGACAATTGATTTCTAATGACCGTTTAGGTCATATTTATAATCAATTAATGAATTAAAAATAATTGGCACAACTACTTTAGAAAATTATTTGGCATTACCTAACAAAGTTGAAGATACACAAATTCTACTCCTATGTATACAATTTAACAGAAAAGCATACACAAAAAGACACGTACAAGAATGTTTCTGCAGCAAATCTAATAACCACAAATCAGAAACAACCCAGATGTCCATAATGGTAAAATGGAAAAACTGTGGCTTATTCATACAAGAGAATATCATACAGCAGTAAAAATAAAATACACCTAATAAAATAATGTTTGACAAAAAGAATATAGATACAAAATAAATACTGAATTATTCCACTTATTTAAAATTCAAAAATAAGTGAAATTAATCTGTTGATGTTGAAGTCAGGAGAGTGGTTACCTTTGGGCAGGAGAAAGGAAGAGTGATTAAGAGGGGGCACTGGGAGGGCAGGTTTCTGGCGTTACTGATAATTGTCTATTTCTTGGCCAAGAAATGTTTATTCTGCAATGTGTTAATCTTATGATAATCAATAATTGACAGTGATACTGGTATTTGTGTACTTTTTGGTATATATGTTATACATCAATAAAAAAGTTAAAATGAAACAAAACCTCTCACTCACTATTTGCATTTTGTTCTGATTTTATATTCTGCTAATTTAAGGGTATTTTTATGTTCTATCACATTGTCTTTTCAGTTCTACAAAATACGTTAAATTAGCTCTTCAATAACAATCAACCAAGCAATGTCAGACCAATGTGTTTCATTTTTTACTTCTGCCTTCTAATTTAACTCTAAAGCAATCTTCATATTCTCCAGCAATTATTTCAAAAATACTAAATTTTAAAAAGTATTTGTCATGTTGCTTAGTATATCTAATTCATAATATTACATTTCATCAAATCTGACTCCATAAATTGTAAGACGCATCAAATTTTATGTACCATTAAGAAAAATTTGCTGCCATGCGTAATTATAAAACTCTTCCAAGTAGTGTATCTTAGAATCAATAAAATATGATATTTAATCAAAATTTTATAATTAGTTGTCAGTTCCACATGTAAGATTTAAATTTCAACTAAATCTAGAATTTACATTCTAGAGAAAAAAAATGTAACTAACATATGACTAAATGCAGAAATACGGTCATACTGTAGACCTCAAAATTACATTTTTCATGTTAATCAATGCTACTTTACCAAGAGAAAAGAGCTGAACAAAGAAAAATAGTATTTCAGGGTCAACAAGAACAAAAGTAGCTGGATATCGAAATACCAGTCCATACCAATTTCTTATTAGCGCAGCCTTCTAGATATCTAGTATATAAAAGTATGCCCAATTGACTGGGCGGCTAGAATGTTAGCGATGCATATATATGTGTTTCAGTATGTATATTCACATCTATGCTTAGTAATTTTCCAGGGAACAATGGAATTCTAATCTTAGAAGAAAATATAAATAGATACAGTGTTCCTATCTTGTTCTGAACCATTCCTTTAAAGGCTACCTAACAGAATATATAACTCTGTAAGTCAGATTACCCTATGAATGTGATTATGGTACAAAGAATGTTTCAAGCAACTAAAATGTAATGCTTACGAGTGAACAGAGGCAGGAGCATCATCTCTTTGGAAAGTTCCTTCACTTCCAATCTGCTCCCTACGTTTTCCAGCTCTGTCTTTATATTTTGGATTCTTCAGTGCCTTTTCATCTTCATATTCCGTATTCTTTATAAATAAACACAAAATATTCATTGAGGAAAACAAAAGTGATAAATAAAAATGTAATGTCTTTATATTTGCCTTACTTAGCAAATATGTTTCAATGTGGTCTGTATTAAACAGTGAATTAAAACAAGTCATAATATAAATTAAGACAATTATATTATTTACTATGCTATTTTTATTCTATCCTCTTTAAAATGTTTATATTATTTCAAGTTGTACTACAACATAAATTGCATATAGAATATAAATCATAAATTGTAATATGTAGTCGTAAGAATATAGTGAAAATATAGTATATATTTTGACCTAATGATGTGTACTCACATTCTCATATGAACTACCAATATTCAAAGAAATATGCAGAACCCCTGAGGTTGGAAAAAAATCTATTTCTCCTTTTCTCTAAGGAAGTGAATGTTCCCAAGGGACTAAACAGTTTGATACTATTCCTTGGAAGGGAAAAATGTAGAAAGCCTTTTAAAAAATGGATAAATAGCAAATACTCTTTTATCCTGGCACTACTAATAGCTTTCTGCTTCAAAAAAACTCCATTTATACAATTCATCAGTCACTCAACAAATATTTACTATGTAGAGTGTGTGAAGCTCCATGCTAGGTGATGGAGTACAAACACATTTATAATCCTAGAAGGGAAACACAAAATCTTTGGCACGCTCCAGTATGACTGGTTCAGCATTAAGGTGTAACAAGATGTGGCAGTAGCACAAAAGAAGAGGCAGTCCATTCAGCTTGGGGCTTCAGAGAAGGCTCCTCTTCCCCATGTTACTACATGCTGATCTTTATATAAAAAGTATGACATTCATCCACCAAGATGCCAGGAACTGCTAGAGCAACTCAAGAAAAGCACCACAGAAGCTTTTACTTAATTTTGCTTCTAAACAGCAAAGAAAAACATAGAACCACCAACTCTAATTGGTTTTTCTCCCTAGAAGATACAAAAATTGAGCTAAAGTTTTTGAGAAAATATATTATTCTCTCCTTATATATCTTCTGTTTTCCTCTCAAATTAGCCCCTTGACATTTTTTTCTATTATGATTTCTCTCCCTTAGTATAACAGTAACAACAAATAATACAATTTTGCAGAAAAATACATTATTTTGGGAGCATCTTTTCCCACATCTTCATGAAGAGTAAAAAGAACTCCACAAATATACATAAGACCTAGATTCTAGCTATATCTAGCTCTGTCATTTAGTAGCTGGGTGACCCTTAGTTTCTCAAATGGAAACTGGAAATATGAATTACCTTCATGGTCTACTTATAGGATTAAATGTTAATTTTTTTACAGCCTTATTAAGGTATAATTAACATACAATAAATTACACATAAAGTGTACAATTAGATACTTTTGAGATTTGAAACAAACCATCACCATAATCAAGATAATAAACATAGCCATCTCCCACAAAAGTATCCTCGTCCTTCTTTGTAATCCTTCCCCTCCTGTACCCACACAACCACTGATCTGTCACGATATGTTAGTTTGCTTTCCTAGAATTTTATATAAACGGAAATATATAGTACGTACTCTTTTTGTTTGGCTTTTCTTTCACTCAGCATAATTACTTTGAGATTTAGCCATTTTGTAGCCTGTATCAGCTCATGTTTTTTTACTGCTAAACCGTATTTGACCATATACATATATATATCATACTTCATTTATCCATGCTTGATGGACAAGTGAGTTTTTTCCAGTTTTTGGCTAACAGAAAAAAAGCTGCTATGAACATTTGTTTACTAGTCTTTGTGTGAACATATGCTTTCATCTCTCTTAGGTAAATATCTCGAAAGAGAATGGTGAATCACATGGTAGGTGCACATCTAACTTTTGAAGAAACTACTAAACTGGTTTCCAAAGCAATCGCACCATTTTACATTCTCACCAGCAGTGTATGAGACCTCCAGTTCCTCCACATGCCACCAACACCTGGAATGGTCACTCTTTTTAACTGGTTTAATTTGCATTTCCCTAATGACTAATGATACTGAACATCTTTTCATGTGTTTCTTTGCCACCTGTACACATGCTTTGGTGAAGTGTCTATTCAAATCTTCTGCTCATTTTTGAATTGTTTTCTAACTGAGTTTTGAGAGTTCTGTATATATTCTAGATACAAGATATATGATTTTTATCAGATAGATGATTTGCAAATATTTTTCCCAGTCTGTGGCTTATCTTTTCATTCTCTTAAGAGCATCTTTGCAAGAACCAAAGTTTTGGAGACAGTGCAATTTATTAATTTGTTCTTTTATGGATTGTGCTTTTGGTATTAAATACCTAAAAAATCTTTGCCTATTTTTTTTATAGGTTTGCTTCTAGAAGTTTTACAGTTTTAGGTTTTAAATTTATATCTATGATACATTTTGAGTTCATTGTTATATCTGTTACGAGGTGTGGATCAAAGTTCTACTTTTGGATTTTGCATACACCTATCCAATTGTTCCAGCACTATTTGCTGAAAAGACCATCCTTTCTCCACCAAATTGCCTTCACATCTTTGCTGAAAATCATACATATATATACACACACACATACACAAATATACATCTATCTAGGTCTATCTCTGCATTCATTATTCTGTTCCATCGACCTATTTGTTTATCTTTAGCCTACACTATACTGTCTTAATTATTGTAGTTGATGAGCTGTCTTGAAATCAGGAAATATTGGTCCTCCAACTATGTTCTTCACTGATATCATTTCGATACGAGTTTTTTAAAAACCAGAAATGGCTATTCAAATGTAGGGTATTATTATCATTTTTCTACTCCAACTTCAACAGTTGTTGAGGTAAACAATAAACAACAGAAATTACATAAATCTCTAAATCATTCTAAATAGCTCTTTTTATATATAAAATGGACTGTGCAAATCTAAAGGCATTTTTACTCAAAACCAGATGCACAGTTTAACACACATAACAATATTTAACATCCTTACCTGCAAACCATATTTCACTCGTATTTTCTTTAATTCTTTTCTCCTTTCCAACTCTTTTTCCTCCTTACTTAGTGTCGGACCAACTAAATGGAAAAAGTGAGCTTAGTTTAAAAAATAAGAAAATGCTAAATTTGATAAATTTTATATAAAATTAATACTGTTATTTAATAATTTAAAAAACTAACAGTATTAATGTCCCATCTGCAGATTAACCAACAGGTCCAGTAAACAGTAATATAAAAGCATCTTGGGTTATGATGATGTCCTTTCAGCATGTTGGTAACTAAATTTACTTGGAAACTAACCAAAATGCAAAGATTATAGGAAGGTTATAGTATAGATACCAAAAGAAACACTAAACATGTTAATTTTTTGATATGACTATTGTAATAGAATCCCAAATGCAGAAATAGTGAATTTTCCAAAGGAACATAGGCATGTGCAAAAGAAAAATCACAGAACCAAAGATTCACGTTATCATGTAATGTGTCATACTCACTTTCACAATCTAGTATCATAACACAAAAAAATATACAATGACCATGTACAGTTGTTTGGTATTTAGGGGAAAAACTGATATGAAAAAAATTAGTTCTTAAAGTATCTATTCGAATTTTAAAAGCCTTAGATAAGTGGGCTTAAAGCAAGATAGCAACTCCTACAGTGTTATTTATTATAGAAAAAAATGGGCATACACGCAAATGATACATCAACATAAACTGTAAGGAAGAAAGCAAACACGTCAACCAGTATCTCAACATCCTGCCTATTATCCTCTACACCGCTATTATACAACAGAGTTTAACTGTGGATGACTTCTTCCCATCAGTGAACAGATGTTAAGAGACCATTATGTCACAGTTTCTCTTTTGAAAGACATTTAGCTACCACCGCAGGGCTGCTTCAAAAGCCACCTAAACTGGATTAGCAAAAACAGAGCTAATGATTATCTTTCCTGGTCAAAAAGTAACCTAATGCTGTAACAGCACAGCTAAATTACCACACAGAAAAATCAACTACAATCATACTAGCCTAGGCCTCTAATTTCAAATACATGTCATTTCTTCATCTCATTTGATAATATTCACCAAAATATAAATGTATCTCAATACGGTATTGTATCAATTAGATATGAAGCTGGTAGCTAACATATATATTATTAGAACACTCCAGTGAAGTAAAGAGAAAAGTTTTCATGCCCACATGTGACAATACATTTCACATACCAAAAGACTCATCTTTCTTATCAAGACGAAGGTGAGCTCTAACCTGCCCTGGTTCACAGCCATCACAGGTCTCACTGCCAGGGTGGATGTGGAAGGACAACACAGTCTCTCCAATTTTCACTTCATCTCCATGCTCAAGTACATAGGGGTCACATTTAGTTTTAGGCTAAAGGGGAAAAAATTACAAAACAGAAATCCAGGAAGGTTATATATGATTATTTTATGTCTACTCTAAGTAATTAGAACAAAAAAACATTTGAGATGCTTCTCAGTGAGACAGACACACACATGCAAACACACACACACAAACTGCCACAACTCGAGGATGATCCATAATGTTCTACCAATGGAGAGGAAGACAGCTGAACTGAACTGAGAATTTTGATATTCTCAAATCCACTCATCTCCCTATCTCCATGTCCAATCCCATCAGAGAAACACCCAACCCAAACTCCAAACAATCTATCACCAAAACGAAGAACCACCACAGTCAAAAGGTGACGTGTAAAGGAGGTAAGCGTATCACATTTCCCCTTTTCCTCTTCCTTTCTCTTGATAATTCAGTTTTATTTCATTTCTGAATCTTATAGACTAAAAATAAGGCCTCCCTCCCTCTCTTCTGTATCTTATCTTCTTATGTGCCAGGCACTTTGCCACATGTTGGGGATATAAGAGTTAAGTGGACAGAGATAGCCCCTGCCTTCAAGGAGTTTCTACTTGAGCAACATTTCCATTAAAACAATTTTTTTAAAAACATACACACACAAAAAAGGAGGCCCCCTAAAGTTGCTATAACAACATTTACTCTGAAGAGCTTTAAAATGCATTTCTCTCTAAAAGTAAGGCATAGATGCATAATTAGAAGTCAAACTCAACAGTCAAGTATCCACTTATTAAATACTTTTTTTAGTCCTTTCTGGGAATTCCTTCCACAAAACACATTTGGGCTTGAACGCGGATCTAAACCAAATGTGTATAATAACCATGGCCTTCAAGAATAAAAAGCTCTAGATCAGGGGCTGGCCTGGTGGTGCAGTGGTTAAGTTCCCATGCTCCACGCGGTGGCCCGTGATTCATGGGTTTGGATCCTGGGCGCAGACCTACACACTTCTCATCAAGCCATGCTGTGGCGGCATCCCACGTGCAAAGTGGAGGAAGACTGGCACAGATTTTAGCTCAGGGACAATCTTCCTCCAGCAAAAAGAGGAAGATTGGCAACAGATGTCAGGTCAGGGCCAATCTTCCTCACCCCCCCAAAAAAATAAAAAATACAAAATTTAGTTTGGTTTTTAAAAATAACGTGCATGCGGCTAGCCCAGTGTCACAATGGTTTAAGTTTGCACACTCCGCTTCGGCCGCTCAGGATTTGCTGGTTCAGATCCCAGGTGCAGACCCATCCACCGCTTATCAAGCCATGCTGTGGCAAGAGGCCCACATACAAAGTAGACAGGCAGAGATGTTAGCTCAGGGCCAATCTTCCTCAGCAAAAATAATAATAATAATAATGTGCAAGTAATTAATTAGTACATACACACTCACCTGAAGAATCTGTTTTCCGTTAACAATTGTGCCATTTTGACTGCCTTGGTCCACAAGGACATAACTTTGTAAGTCATGGTCAAAATGAATTTCTGCATGAAACTTAAAAAAAGAAACCAGGTAATTATAAAGTAGTATACTTATTTTCTAACCCTAGATAACAATTTCTCTCTGATAGAATGTGATGGACTTTAGTCTCTGATAAATTTTTATTATTTTTAATACTTTATTTTCCTGAATACAAAAGTATTACAATGCTTCTGGTAGAAATGTGGAGCCCACCAAAGAAAAAAGCACCTATAATTCCACCTATAACTGCCATTAATAATGTAGTACCCTACCTTTTCTACTTTTGTAAGAGAGTTGAGATTATACTATAGATACAATTGAAATTATTTTTTCACCTAATGTAAGTATTTGTCCATATCATTAAAAATTCTTAATACAAAAATGTATTTGAAACACTCAGGGTCAACTTCTCAGAGAAGTTTCCCAGTATTTCGATACTCGGGACTAATCACTGCCCCCTTGCTCCAGAGCACTCTGTAACACTCACACCACAGGAAGTTACTGCACATAGGAATGTCACTGTGCTGCTGACAATTATTGCTTACGTTAGTCTACAGTTTTGTTTACCACTCAGTACATAACACAGTGCCTCACATACACTGGCCCTGTACTCAATATGTCTACTTAGTTGGATAAAGAGCTGCAGAAATATTTAATTTAAAATTTCATAAACAGTACACTGCTGGTGGGAATGTAAAAAGGTGCAGCTGCTTTGGAGGGGTCTGGCAGTTCCTCAAAAGGTTAAACAGAGTTACCATATGACTCAACAATTCTACTCCTAGGTATCTATCAAGAGAAATTAAAACATACAGCCAAACAAAAACTTGTACACAAATGTTCATAGCAGCATTATTCCTCAGAGCCAAAAAGCGGAATCAATTCAAAAGTCCATCAAGTGATGAATATACTACATGTAGTCTATCTATACAATGGAATATTATTCGGTGACAAAAAGAAATGAAGCACTGACATACGCTAAAACATGGATGAATCTTGAAGACATGACAGGTGAAGAAGCTAGTTACGAAAGACTACATATGATTCTGTTCATATCAAACGTGCAGAACAGGCAAATCCACAGGGACAAAAGCAGACTGGTGGCTGCCTGGGGCTGCAGCAGTTGGGGGAAATGGGGACCGAACACTAAGAGAGTGGCGTTTCTTCTTATAATAATGAAATGTTCTAAAATGGGTTGTGGTCATGGTTGCACAACTCTGTGAATACACTAAAAACCCTTAAATTACACACTTTCAATGAGTAAGTTGTCTATGGCATGTGAACTCTCTCTCAATGGAGTTATTCTTAAAAAATTTCATAAACATAAACATATAAAATGTTTCAAACACAAAAAAGAATATATTGAGTCTGTCTACCTGTGACCCAGCTTTAATAAATTTTGCTGTATTTGCCTCAGATATTTAAAAGAAAAATTATCATCCATCAATGTGTACCTTACTCTGTCCAACCCCTACCCTTCCTCTTCAGAGGTCTGATGTTTATTTAATCACAATGCATCTCTTTATACTTTCACCACATGTGTATGTATCCATAAACAATGTGTTTATTTTGCCTGGTTTGGAACTTGATATAAATGGGAATCATAATTTATATAAAGGAAATTCATAGGTCTTAAATGCACAGTTAGATGAGTTCTGACAAATGCATGCTCTCTATACATTTCTTTCATTTTGCTTCTTTGGCTTATTTAACATTATGTTGTGAGGTGCATCCAGTTGTCGTCGACAGTTGTGCCATTTTGCCGTATGGTAATCCATTGTACGGATGTACCACAATCTACATATTCTTCTGATGATGGACAACCAGGTTTTTTCAAGGTTTTACTATATTTAAAATGTTTCTGAGCCAGCCCTGCTGGCCTAGTGGTTAAAGTTTGGCACGCTCCACTTCAGTGGTCTGGGTTCAGTTCCCAGGCTTGGAACCACACCACTCATCTGTCAGTAGCCATGCTATGGCGGCGGCTCACATAGAACTAGAAGGACCCACAACTAGAATATACGGCTATGTACTAGACTTTGGGGAGGTGAACAAAAGAGAGAGAGGAAGATTGGCAACAGATGTTACCAAGCAAAACTTTCCCAGCAAAAAGAAAAAACGTTTCTATGAACATGCCACCTTCCTGTGGACAAGAAAAATGTTTCTCTGGGGTATATACTTAGAAATGAAATTGCTCAGCCATAGTATATGCAAATCTTAAACTTTATTGGACACTGCCATATCATTTTCCAAAGTGGTTGTAACAATTGTTATGCCCAACAGCAGTCTACAGGAATTCTTGCAGGTCTATATAGCCTTAATCCACACAGTATTATTAGAATTTTTAGATTTGCAAGCATAATAGGTGTAAAATTAAATCTCATCATTGTGATTTTAATTGGCATTTTCTGAGTACAACTGAGGCTGAAACTTTTCTCATGTTTATTAGCCACTGGGTTTCCTCTTCTGTAAATTTTCTCTTCATGTCCTTCACACATTTTTTTCAATTGCATTGTTTAGGGTAATAATAACTATATCAAAGAGTTTAAATAGGATCAAGTCTTTCGATTTGAAACCTTATTCCAAAGAGCTGTTCTAAATTATGCTCCCAACAGAAGTGATATTTAATAAATATGCTGAATGAAAACTGACATCTTGGCTTCATTTGTATTTCCTAAATTACTAGAAAGATGGAATGGTTTTCATATCTTAATCACAATATTTCCTCTATTGTGCATTGCTTATTTATGTTCTTTACTCATTTACCTATTGGTGTCACAGTGGGGTTTGAAAAAATGAATTTGTTTCAGCTTTTAAAATATAAAGAACGTATATTTTGTCATATCTGTCTGACTGTCCTAGTCTGCCTTTTAAATTTGTTTCTTAACATATAAAGAACTTCAAACTTGGAGGCGGCCCCATGGCTGAGTGGTTAAGTTCGCGCGCTCCACTGCAGGTGGCCCAGTGTTTCGTCTGTTTGAATCCTGGGCGTGGACATGGCACCACTCATCGAGCGACGCTGAGGTGGCATCCCACATGCCACAACTAGAAGAACCCACAATTAAGAATATACAACTATGTACCGGGGAGGCTTTGGGGAGAGAAAGGAAAAAACTAAAATCTTTGGGGGAAAAAAAAAAAAAAGAACTTCAAACTTAAATTATTCAAAATTATCTTGTCCTCTGTAACTCTTTTCTACTTTCACACAGCTAACAAATTATTCACCCTGCCAGTGGACATGTTAGTTTAAAAGAAAGAAAAAGCAGAAATGACACCAGAGAACTACCTATATTTCAGATTGGACTGGGAGAAGGACGTTGCTCTTTAAGTCATAGACTGGGTTTTCTTCGGAGGTAGAAGAAAGGAAAGTCATAGGAAAGTAAAAAAGCAAAATAATTTGGTCAGAGTTCACGTGAAGAGGATTTCCTTCCCTCTGAATGAGTCCAAACAAAGTAAAAATAACTAGATTTTCAAACTAATAATGGGAAACAAATTTCATTCCCAAAAGGCAAAAAGCCACATAAAATATATACTTTAGATCCATATTGTAGTCCATTAAATAGAAACAAAGTAGAGATGATGAAAGGACCAAAAAAAGACCAAAAAAAAAAAAAAAAGGAAAAATAACAACCATAGAAGGGAGGGGGAAAACTAGAGAAAATAAAGAAAAAGAAATATAGAGTGTCAGCAGCTAAACCTTTTGTTTTTTTCTACTTGTAACTTAAGTTGCAACTCGGTTCTTACTGTTTGTTCTGAAAACTCAACTGTTCTTTTTCCTGAAACCATTAGAGGCTCAACTAAGAACAGCTGTAAATGGAGAGCCCTGGGTCACGAGGATAGATGGTTCTTGGGTTGTAAAATACTCTGGACTCAAAGCAACTGTCTGCTAAACCAGCCTGAATCAACATCTGATTCATTTTTGAACTGCCATAATATCTAGCATATTTATTTCACTCAATAAATATTTGTTAAATGGGTATTACTTTAATATTTAAATTAATATCTACTTCTGCTCCAGACTATTAAAAATTAAACATAATTTGGGGCTGGCCCAGTGGCATAGTGGTTAAGTTCACGTGCTCCTCTTCGGCAGCCCAGGGTTTGTGAGTTCGGATCCTGGGCACAGACCTACACCCTGCTCAACAAGCCCTGCTGAGGCAGCATCCCACAGACAAAACAGAGGAAGATTGGCACAGATGTTAGCTCAGGGACAATCTTCCTTACCAAAAGAAATTAAAAATAAAAATAATTTATCCAAATTGTGATAAAGAATTTTTATTTTCTTAAGCAGTGGAATAAACAAATCTGCATTGATTTCATTACCATTACTACACTGACTATTAACCTTTCTATTAATTGGGAAAAACCCTAAGCTTTCTGCCATAATGATGATTTATAAAACACATCTAGGGGACTATAGTTGAAAACTCAAGGTACTCACCTTACTGACACCAACTTCGGGGATTCGGAGAGTATGCTCCATATCTTTTTCTCTGCAGAGTTAAGTAAAATTTCTTTAGTAATTTTTGAAGCATACATATACAGAGGCAGCACTTACAGTGACATGGAAAGAATTTGTTTAAAAAGATGATGCTTTTTGTTTTAAAAGACCATGCTACAATGAAAGTCTATCACACTAAGCCCCATTTCCTAAATCCTGCTCTAAATTTCCTGTTTGAAGGGAGGTTCCAGAATTACTTTTATTCTTTAGTACATCTATCTGAGCTAATAAACATCCAACGGGACAAGATATTCTTTGTACTAATGTCAATCATTTATTCCAGATATGCTATGTTCCCACTTCCATTACTATGTGTAAAAGGAACCTAATATTCTCCAAGAATTTAAAACTAAGGGGGCTGGCCCAGTGGCCCAGTGGCACAGTGGTTACATTCAGCACACTCCACTTCAGCTGCTCAGCTTCATGGGTTCAGATGCTGGGTTTGGACTTACACCACTCATCAGCCATGCTGTGGCGGTGACCCACATACAAAGTAGAGGAAGACTGGCACAGATGTTATCTCAGGGCTAGTCTTCCTCAAGTAAACAGAGAGGAAGATTGGCTACAGATGTTAGCTCAGGGTGAATCTTCCCCAGGAAAAGAAAATTAAGATATTGTATAAAATCTGAATTAATGATTATCTTTCCCTTTAGGAAGAAAGGAAATTATCCAATTCATGATTAAAACCTAACTCTCTACCAAGTGGTTATGCATTACAAACGAGTAAAAGCAAAGCAGCAGAGAAGGAGGCCAATACTGGCTTTAGGTAAGCAATTTGAACCAGCACAAAGGGTAAGAAAATTACAAAATCTCTGTGGAAGGTATCACCAAGATTTTACCTCTTTATATATGCAGCCCCCTTTTGGGACCATGAAGTCCCAAACTTTGAGTGATTTTCAAAAGCAAGAGACAAAAGCTAAGTGTCAATAATATTTTTTCAGTGGGAGAGGGAGGGACGTGGATGTCATATTTTGTCTATTCAACAAGCACCATGCACATTACATGATAATTGCTCAAGAAATGTACAAGCCATTGGAAAAAGACAAATAGATAAATATAGTAATATTAAACATTTTTACCTTCCAATTGTAGCAGGGTTTACAGCTGTAATGATAAAAAGTGATCCTGTCTGCAAGACTGGTGATCTAATAACAATTACTCTAATACACGGGGGCCAAATTTTTTCTTCATCTGCCAAAGAAAAAAGGGGGTAAATATTAATTCAAATGCTATGTAAAAAAATTAGAAATGTCTAGGGATAAGGAAGAAGCATCCATAAAATAAAAATGTATTGATCAAAAATCTTAATTATATTTAAACCACCTTTTAAATTCTGCTATATGACAAACGCACTGAGAAACGCTTAATACTGTTACCAATTTAAAGGGATCAATCTAAAAGTATTCAGTAAATTCAGTATCTATCACAATTATAAAAGAATCAACTCAGTTTTTTTTAAGGCTTTAAAAAATTTGAAAAAATTTTTTGAAAAAATGCCAACAAGCATTTTTATATGAAGTTAGAAAAACTGAGTCCACTTTTTAAAAAAGAGTGAGAGAAATTCCATAAGGCCAAAATAAGTTCAATTCCCTAATACGAAATCCTGAGTTTTAAAAGTATGTTTCCATATTCTCAAGTAAAATAATATTAGATTTACTATAATACTTATGTAGCTGAATTCACGGACTATACTTTTTACAGGCAATTTGTTCTTTCCCCCTCAATTACAAAAGTGGACTACAAGTATCTAACCCACTAAAATAGACTTAATACATTCTTCAGGATTAGAATGGAGATAACTCGGTATTGTGTTCTACTGACTAAGCCATTCATGCAATGAAACGTTAAGGTCCAAGTATGTACCACATATTCACATTCTACTCTCTGAAAACAACCAAGTGGTAGCCCTCGTAGTTTTCAGTAACGTCATTAAAACAATCAGTTTACTCTTCGGCGGCTACGTTATGACTTACTAACATTTGTAACTGCATTGCTCTTTGACAACCGCCAGACTGGGTAATTTGCATAAAATTGAATGACGGTTATTTACTCACCCTCATCCTCAGTATCTTCTGCAGTTACACTGTCTTCACTGGTCATGTCTTCATCATAACTGTCCTCGGTCTGAGAATCTGTAATTTCACCTTCTTCTGGTTCACTATCAGTCTCTACGATTTTCTCCTCTTTAAACGAAGTCAAATTATAGGTGTTTTCATTAAGAGATTCTACAGTCTTTCCACTAACTGGAACAGTGAATTTGGGGGGACTATTTTTGTAATGAATGTCTATTTTGGCCTTCTTCTTCACAGTTGCAAAATCTTCTCCCTCCTTGCAGTTTATATGTTCAACACTGGATGCTTTTTGATCTTCTGAAGTCAAATCCTAGAAAGAGGTGGGTGGGGAGGTGGGAACAGGGGAGAATAATCTTAAACATGGCCATTTTATAACATTTAATGCTAAATGTTTCAGTGAATTAGTGAAGATACATGTACAGCGAAATAACAATAGCTATTATCTGTACGCTCTCTTCCTCTCATGTTTCCTTTCTTGATCAATGACATTACCATCCACATCAAAAATCTCATAGTTATCTTTGACATCACCTTACCCACCACGTGGAATCAATTACCAAGCACTGTAGACTATGTTTACAATTTATCCCAGTTCTCTCCTTATCTATTCTCAATGTCCTAAGTGTCCCAGTCAAGGACCTCACTGCATATTGCTTGGACCACACAACAGCCTAGACCAATACTGTCCAATAAAAATGTAACGCAAGCCATATTTATACTTTAAAACATTCTAGTAGCCATGTTAAAAGCAGGTTAAATTCATTTTTTTATTCTATCTAACCCAATATTTACAAAATATTATTATTTATATAAATATTAACATTTATTCAATATACTTACTAAGGAAATATTTCACATGGACTTTATGTACTAAGTCTTCAAAACTGAATGTAGTTTATACTTACAAGCATCTTGATTAGGACCAGCTACATTTCAAGGGCTCAACAGCCACATGTAGCTAACGGCTACCTTATTGGACAGCGCAGGCCTAGAGAATACAGCTACCCTAAATTTTCTTCTTGAACTTTTAACCAATTATCAAGTCAACATACATAAAATACAGAATTGGCTTTAATTTCGGCAGGAATTTAAAGATTCTAATGTAGCAGAACAGTAGTTTTGTAAAATTTAGTATTTTATAGAGTTGGTTGGATAATACACAACAGTTTAAAGTAAAGATGAATCAGTTACATCTTTTTTATTCCGAAATTCCAACTTACCTAGCATAAGCTTTCTACTATTTATTATACACGTATAGTGGGCATGCCTTACAACAAATGAATAAATCTATTATTTTAACCTTAGAAGAAGCAGAGTTATTTCCCTCTTTTTCCTTTCACTTGTAACACACTCTAAATTTCTTTCTCCCTTAGAGCAACATGATGTGAGTTCTTCTGTTATGTTATAAAATATGAGAGCATCTTAAACACATTTTTAATTGCAACATAAATTCAATTTAGAGACTGGCTAAACACTCGCAGTGTGATAAACTATATAAACTTCCAGCAATACAAACTCACCAAGGACAAGAACAAGGGCAAGGAGCTGAAAAACTATGAAGAGCTTTAAAGGCCACTGTGAATTATAGCAAAAAATTCCCATATCTATATATACTTAATAAAAAAAGCAGTTTCCAATCTGTATATTTTATTATTATTACTGCTTATAGGACAACATACGGAGGAGAACAACGAGTGAAACTGTCAGAGATGCAACTTTTAAAAAACTATTTGCCAGTCCAGAATGTTAAATATTCATTAAGAGATGAGAAAGGGGGCCTATATGTGGGCATTGAAGCATAAATGCATATTTCAAGTTATTTACTCCAATCTCCTCACCCGACTCCCTTCCTTCCACATACCCTCCACTTCCAAAGAGTGAGGCTCAAGAGTATCTTAAAAAATAAAAAGATGAGGATGTCTTAACTGGTCTCCTATGCTTCACAGCTACCTTTTAGAATCATCAGGAAATTCTCAAAATTACATCAGGGATTTTCTTAAGTCCCTGTCCTGGAGTTCACATGTATTCAAAGAAGGATGCTGAAGATGAGCAGTTATGGGAACTAAGCAGGATCAAAATCCCACAGACCGCTTTCAAGTTTCAATCTCTACTCTGTCAGAGAAGGTCATCTGCAGACCCCCATGTGTTCTGTTCTCAGTGCTAGGGAGGTGTACTTTCACTACCTACCCTTTCAAACAGTTCAACCACTCGTAACAGTTAGGAGTCATTACAACAGAGGTCTTGAAAGCAAACGGAAAAATCATTTTTACTATTTTAGTCATATACTCTTCTAAGTATTATCAGTGAAAATAATAGAGAAATAGCAACAAATCAAATACAGAATAGAAAATAAATCCAACAGAATCCCAATTCTATATTTGAACTTCACTAGTATTATACATTTAAAAATTTTTCTTTGGTTAAGAAGAGAAAAACATAAAATTTCAAGAGTAAAGTATCTAATAATTGCCACAATTCACAAAACGCTATATAACAAGCCTCCTTTCCTGCCTATAAACCATTAACCTTATCTGATTAGGGAGTAGAAATAAGAGCACTGATAACATTTTAAATATTTTCCTTCTTTAAATTTAACATTGTATCATAAGCATTTTTAAAATTCCCCTCTTTCTTTTTTTTAGATTGGTACCTGGGCTAACAACTATTGCCAATCTTTTTTTTTTTTTTCTGCTTTATCTCCCCAAACACCCCTGTACACAGTTGTATATCTTAGTTGCACGTCCTTCCAGTTGTGGGATGTGGGACACCGCCCACAACGTGGCCTGACGAGCGGCGCCATGTCCGCACCCAGGATCTGAACCCTGGGCCGCCGCAGCAGAGCATGTGAACTTCACCACCTGGCCACAGAGCCGGCCCTCCCCTATCTTCATAAACTACCACTTTAAGGCCTAAATGATGCTTTGTCAATTAAATGTGCTAGCATTTTCTTAACCCAGTATCTTGTGGGCCATTTGAACTCAATTTTTTTCTGTTCTCATAAATACTGTTGTATAATTATACAAAGGCATTTTTCTTTCTTTAGGATTTTTAAAAAAATAAATTAGGAAAACAAGATTTTCCAGTTAAAGAATATGAACATTTTTATGGTTACTGATATAAACAGCCATCAATTTTCCAAACAGATACCAATTTACACTCCTAATGACTATGTACCTAATCTATATTTGCTAGCAATGGATTTTTTTAATGTTTGCTAACATAATAGGTAAGAAATTGCTCAATATGACTAAGAAAGTTGAATTTTACTTACGTCTACTTATAAACAGTGTTTTTCTTTTACTGTGTATTGTGCACTGACATCAACTTATCAATAGAGTCTGAATGTTCTTCTTCTCAATTAGACAACATGAGTATTTTATCTGCCCTAAATCTACTTCCTTCAAACTTTAAGAAATCCTTTCTATTTCTAGTGACAGAATTTGTGAAAAAGTCCATGTTTGCTCCGTGTGACTGCTCCTTGTTTGACAGATTCTGATACCTTGCTATCTTAATGGATATGTTTGAAATACAGAGTTACCGAAGGATTTTCAGCTTCATCAAAACTTTTGGCTTAATTATGATATCACCATTATGCAAATTTAAAAAATGATGAAGACGTTACCTTTTCCTTATTTACTTATTTATTTATGTTTTTAGTGAAGAAGATCAAGCCTGAGCTAACATCTGTTGCCAATCTTCCTCTTTTTGCTTGAGGAAGACTGTCCCTGAGCTAAGATCTGTGCCAATCTTCCTATATTTTGTATGTGGGACAGTGCCAAAGCATGGCTTTATGACCGGTGTGTAGGTCCATGCCCAGGATCCAAACCTGTGAACCCCGGGCCGCTGAAGTGGAGCACACAAACTTAACCACTACATCACCAGGCCAGCCCCTACCTTTTCCTCATTTGTTGTAGAAGAATCTGGATCCTTTCTTTTCTTCTTCGATTTCTTATCTCTACTTTGTTTTGCACCAGAAGTCTGATAAGGTTGCAGATCTACTCGAGAATGAAACTGATATCGACCACTTTCCACATCACAGTAGTAATAAATTCCAGTGGAAGGATCATAATATAGTTGATTTTCCTTTCAAAGTCAAGAGAACAGTAAGTTTTATTCATGTAAGATGAAATGCAATACAAGAATAAACAACAGAAATGCCAAATATATTCAAATACAGTAAATGTTTCTTATAAGAACTATGGTACTTTCTGAAGATAATGAATAAAGATAACAAAATGAAAAATGCTTGTAACTTTCCAAAATACTTTACCATTCAATAGCTGCTCTAATTTTCCTAGTGGGAACAATGAATAAATTTAAATATTAAATTGAATCTCATGAAACTGCCAATATATGACCATTTTTTTACCTATAGAAATAGCCATTTCATATGACTCAATACATTACTGAAAAATGATAACAAGAAACCTTCCAGAAGTCGTGAAAACTAAGGCATACGTCAGAAAAAGGTGAGCATATAAAAGCAACTCCAGACCCCTTATCTTTATGACTACACAGTAATGGTTTGGCAGTATAAACCCCCAAACCACTCCTCTCAATGTCATAAAACAAAGATTTGCCTTTTAATATTCATGACTAAAAGTCCTGAAGAAAAATTTGAAAGTAAAATTAAGCTCATAAATACTACAACATAACATTCTATATAAAGAAATTGAGAAACAATTGTCTTCACTAATTAATTCTACAGTAAGTAACTAAGTAAGACTTATGTGTAAAGTAGCCATGCAGAAATGAGTTTTGGCAAATTATGGATGAAAAGTATAAAGATAAAATTATGTAATCATCTGCATTTACTAGGTATTGTACTATAGGTACAGACACTGTAATGGCCTCTAGCTATAGGCCTATATCTATAGGCCAGTACTCTATAACCAAGATTTAACTGAACAGTCTATATTTTATTTACATCATAAAGCCATGCAGATCAGACCTGGAAATATCTTATGTATACTGAGATTAAGCAAATAAAACTTCCTGAAAAGGAGTAACTCGTTCTTCTCACTGTTGATACTACTGCAATTTATTGTCTTTAATCCATTTTGCAGATCTCTTACAAAAATATTTTGAATTTTCACTATCCTTCCCTTAACTAAAAAACTGAATGGAAGCATTCTAATCTTTACTTCTAGTGATAAGAGAACTTTTATAACTCAAACCTTTTTTAATCTGTTATGCCTTTCAGTCCAAAATATAGACATTTCCAAAAATATTTTTAAATTTTTATTTAATTAAAATAAAATGAAAACTAGCACAACAAAAATGCCAAAACAATGAGGTCCCTAATTTACTAAGACATATAACCTGCAGAGTGTAACTAACCATTTCCAGAAGAGATGTCAGGAAGAAAGATACAGGAAGGAAGGTAGAAGAATGATGAAGATTAATGTCATTTACTTGAAAACTGTGTTTTTTCCTAGAAACCAAATAAGTAATAGCTACTGTCTTTGGTAATAAGAGTTTAAGCATTAATTTTCTGGGTATTAATTACCATTGTCAATTAGCATACTCCTGTGAAAGAAAACCTTCTCCTTACAAAGGAATTACCAGTATACCAAGAACAAACCGACAAGCTAATGAAACCCCTTATCTAACTGAGATACTTAGTGTTATCACTATGTTCCCTAGATCAGTTAGCAACAGTTCCAGTAACTGGAATGACGAACATCTGCTCCACTTTGGGCACTACATTCTCTAACTCCTGAGGACCAGATCACATGCCTAGACCGCTGAGGCTGAGGCACATGGGTATGTGAGTTCCATCATCATCGTCATCAAATCCTGAATAAAATCCAATTAAGTACTAGACTTTGACAGCCATAACACTGTATTTTAAGTCAACAATTTTATTTTCTGGTTCTGTCCTAGTCAGAGGTCCATGACATTTCTGATTCCACACGAATTCCCTAGTTTTCACTGTTAACAGATTGATTTTTAAAAAGTGAAATGTTTAAAAGCCACAGAATATAAAACAAGGACTAACAATAAACATGCTATGAGAATTCAAGAAAAAAATTCCCTCTGTGGCCTCAAAAGGATTCATAAGGATATAACTATTTGAAACAAAAAAAATTTCACCCCAAGCCTAGAATTAACAATGTCACTTCCTTATCAATTCTATGAAAAAAATGTTAGTTTAGTTCATAAACATTTTACAACAATGCAGTTGTCTGCTTTTATTAATAAATGCTCTAACATTTTTCTGTTAGTTTACATATAAACAGTTATTGGACTCTAAAATAATAATCACAATTAACTTATTTAATTAAAAACCTAGAAGTGTAGCATCATAAGCTATTTTATAATTCTTTATTCTTGTCAAACAGCTTTGAATCAAACATAATTTTTAGGTGCAGCTCCTTGCTTTTCTTAATTCAGCTGAGGGTTTAATATTTGGCATCAAGCAGCTAAGTGTACAACGATACAGTATTAAAAGCTCTGAGATACTTACAGAATCATAATAGAAACCAGTGCTGTGATCGAAATACAGCCCAGTACTCTCATCATAACTGAATCCAGTCTGTGACACAGCAGCTTCTGCAGCAGCTCTCAAACTTTCAGCTAATGAGGCACCTTCTAAGGATGTGTCTTCAGTTGCTAATGCAGATGCTGGCTCCTAGGTAAGATACATTCATGTCAGGTAAAACAAAAACTCCCTTATATCAATTTAAAAGTTGGCAGAATTTGAAATGATAGACTTAAAAACTATTTTAAATAATCAGACCTCGATTTCTGCAATGGAAAGGGGTAGCTACAAATTACAATTTGATCCACTTTTAAAAATATTTACTAATGTATCAGTTAATTCAATTTTGACCCAGTTTTAAAGACACTAAAAGTGAGTGACCATTACTCAAAAATAAATGCCTGATACCATAGGAAAGCAAGCCACAAAAAACAGACTCTGAAATAGTTTTTAAGACAAATGATCTAGATTCTCTAATAATTATAGGTTCAAAGGGAAAAAAAAATTTAAAAGAGAGACAGAGAAGAAAGCTACAGATTACATGAGCTATATCACACATCAAACAGTTGTACCGTATGAACCTTACTGGGCTCCTGCTCCAAACTGGAGAAACAAATTTGTAAAACATTCAGGGAAATCTGAACAGTTGCAGGACATGGGACATAAAGGAAGCATTAAAAAAATTTTGTTGTGAACATGGTATTGTGGTTCTTGCCCCAAAATGTTTTGGTTGAGTCAAAATATACTAACAAATTTTCTTTGTTTTAGTTTATGTACTATACATCATAAATTTTTGGAACACAACCGAGTAGGAAAACAATTATACACGTGAACAAGTTCTAATTTTTGTTTCTCAAAAACTGTACTCACTGCATAATTATACACACAATGTTTACAAACCCTGTATATGTTTTGATGGAACAAAGAAGTCTTTTTTCTATAAAATAACAACAAAGAAAGACATGTTCTTGGGCATCAACAGTTTCATGTTAAGCATTTTATTACCTGTGAATGTGAGGCATAATGGTCCTCTTGTCCACATTTAACATTTTCTGTTATATCAGTACCAGTGTAAGCATCATTTTCTATTTGTGACTGGTCTTTAGAATTCAAAGTAGAAGGTTCAATATTCTGATCTTGCTGAACTGAGAGCTCAGTCACTTTATCTGGAAGACTAACATCTTTATAGTATGTTTGATAATAATAATCTGTAGCAAAAATAAATCAAGTGATACCACATTAGAATAGTGTATGTAAAAAGGACTGAATTCCAAAACACGGGCACTGAACACAAAACAGCACACACTGCAAATAAATCACATTTTTACAACTGTACACATTTTAACAGATTAACATTTATGGTGCACATAAATCTGCAGAAATATATGTCTTTGATTCTCATGTCACCTTCAGTAGCTGTCAAGCTAAAAAGAAAAAAAAGGTAAGCAGATTTGGATTTTCCACAGCAAGAGGAAAAAAGAAAACAGGTAGACAGGTTGTGTTCTGTCGAAAAAAATTAGCAACACTTAACTTCCAACCACGTATCTTAATGTTGTTTTGTATTAAATGACAATGGAATAAAGACAATGTGTCAAGGGTTGCTTTTTCTGTCAAATTTCTCTCAAGACGCTGACTTTTTAAAAAATATATCATACAGATATGTAATGTTAATACTATTGCCGTGCTTAGCAATTTAGCTAAATTATGTACTGAATAAAACAAGGAAAAATAATGGGAAGGATGATTTCTTGTGGTCCCAATTTAATAAAACTCAGTTGCTGAGTTATTTTGCCTCACAACATAATGCCACTGATGCGGCCACGGTAGCGGACTCACCCTTCCCATAAAGGCCTAAGAGACTGGCACTGAACACAATGCCAAGTGGAATGCGTCAACAAGGAAACATATGCCTCTGGTCACAAGGAAGGCCAGACAAGAGTAGATGGCTCACAGCACGGCAAAAATTACTCAGTGAATGTGCCACTGAAAACACATTAGCAGGATTATGTATTTATGGGAATGACAATACCTTTCTACTTTCCCACCAGAAGAGCTAATGGATTATCTGAAAATACCAAATCATATGGCAAGAAGGCAACATTCTAACAGTTCTCCTATGTGTCTAGTTTGCCTATTTGACAGTTACAGACAACTCTACATTAGCATGATCTGAATGCAACAGTCTTGGGCTATCGTCCCTACAAGCTGCATACCTGAGATGGACCAAGGAGGGTGGTTCTCTGTTTGTACTTCTACATCAGACTTGCTATTATCTTCCTTTCTTCCACAATGGAGTATTTTGCTGAGCTCTTCTACCTAAAAGAAAACAAGGCTTTAGGAAAAATAAATCATATAGCAATCTAATATACACATCATTCTCCTGAAATTACAATAACTACTTTTCTGGGAAAAAGATTTAGAGAAGTACCCAGAGCAGCTAGTTTCCTTTTCAGAAAAACTAAAAATACTAAAATTGACTTGCTTTCACCTTTTACTTTTGCGGGGGAGATGTTTTTATTCTTATACTCTGTTGCTAAACTTCAAAATACCCCCTCCAAAAATCAGATTGAGTAAATTAATAGGACTCTGTGAACAAATCCTTTAACAAATAAGAATATTTTATACTAATATTTCAATCTGTTAGTTCTCCCTAAAGAATTAGGAAAAAAGTATTAACTCTTATTCGTTGAACTAAATCATCTAATAGCATTCCGTGTCCTCCAGCTGAAATAAGTGTTCACTTAAATACAGTAAGCCGCTCATAAGCTTTAATGTACTTTTTTTTTCACATGGTAGTCTTACGACTAAATAACCGCAGAAGGGACGATGGACGCCTCATCGGAGGAGCATCTGACCTCCCTGTGCCGAGGCTGGAGCTACAGAGTGTGAAAATAGCCACAAGCAGATGAGCAGCAGCCTCAACACACCTCAGTCGGACAGCATCTCAATATGAGACATCTATTATAAGCATGCAACTAACCAAAAAACAGGCTTCTGAGTATTTCTTTAATGATATAGAGACCTTAAAACGAGAAAGGTGATAAAACTGATTATATACAGATTATCTAGGTACTTCATCAGTTATCAGATCTGCTACTACCAGGGCTGGAAGCAAGTAAAGCAGCCAGAGCATAAAATTTAACGAGGCACTCACTTGCAGCTTCACTCAAGTACAAGCTCTGTACCTGAGGGTGAGTGCTCCCTTAAATTTTGCGCCCTAGGCTACTGATTGCCTCGCCCAGTTCTGGATCTGCCTACTACCACCATTACTATGAACTAGATCACTTATTCAGTATCTGCTACATGCTACACAGTATACTTGCTACTCTGGATAACATCTCGTTAATTCTTACAACCACCTTACTAATTAGTTGCCCTAATCCCCACTATACATGTGAGAAACCTAAAAAGACAAAGTAATTTGGACAAGGTTCTTTTGACTCCAAAGCTTGTACATACTATGTTTTTCTACTCGTTCACCCTTAGTTCTCAAGCCAACTTTTTACTGCTCCAGAAAAAAACACAATTTAGTCATTTAGGATGACAGTCAACCACCAAACTCCACCGGCCACCAGGGAGGCTGACTAGGAAGAGAGCAAGGAGGAGTTATCACTATGGCCTGTAGAGCTGAGAATTTCTATACATTTCAATTTTTCACATTGGCCCACCAAATTACCACTAATAAGCAAAACATTGGCTCTTCAAGGATTAGCAAAAATGTTTTCTTTTAGGATCTCTATGGCAGGCAGTGCTCGAACAAGTTAGAATTATAAAAGGGTTTTTAAAAGGCTGTCATATTTTGCTCCCCTTCCCCCCACAATATTTTAACTCCATCTCCAGTGTCCTAGCACAGTCCTTAGCACTGTAGGTGTTCAAGAACCAGCTGTTGAGTAAACAAACACAAATTTTCTACAATGTCATAACGTTAACAACTTTATACACGTGCATACCAAGTCACTGCAACTCAGCAGTTATTTGCATAGACCATTTGATAACAACGCATTAAGTTCGATGACGTTTTAGTGTTCAGCCTACACACGTGGTTTTAGGAAATGTACCAATATATTCCAAAGGACTGGCCAACAGTTGAATGGAAATAAATAGCGATGTGAAAATAACCTGCTGGGACAGGCTGCAAGTGCCCAACAAATCAAGCTGGAAAATTTATTATGCTCCCGTCCAAAAGTAAAAAAAAAAAAAAGTGTGATAGTTTGAGTATCTGTCTATACCGTATTTTATGAAATTGAACTTAGCTGGTTAGTGTCTCTAACAAAGAAAGTTTTATCTTCCCTACTTCCACCAGAAAACTCAAGATGATACACGCCCAGAGCAACCTTACACATACCTAGTGTTCAACAGCTTGTAAGACAGTTTGTTCCCGCTTAGGTGCTGTCACCTTCCCCTGCGGGGTGCCAGTGTTCTCATTTTAAGGGCACCTGAGGCTCGGCATCAGGTCACATACCCAGAGAGTGAGTGACGGGATTCGGACTCAAGTCCAGCGCTTTAACAAACTCAGAAGTAATCTAGAACAAAACATTACACACACGCCCAGTGCCAAGGGGCCGTTACGAGCCAGGAGGACAAACGGGCTAGAGCGCTGACGTTCAAGCCACGCCGGCCGTAGGCGCGGCTCACGCACTCGTCTGAACCCAGGGGCCGAGCTCAGGTTTGCTGCACAGCTACTCGGAATTACAATCGCACTGAACTTCTTCTCTCGAGCACCTATCAGGCCGATCTGGGCCCTGCCGGGGAGCCCGCGAGGCTCTCGGGGGCCTCGCCGGGCTGCGGGGCGCGCACCTGGGTGCGGAGCTCCTGGTTGTTGCTCTCAGCGCTCTGGTACAGCCGCTCCGTGTGGTGCAGCAGCTTCTCGATCTCCCGCACCTGCCGCTTGCAGCTCCGCAGCTCGCGTTCCAACTTCTCCACCTTCCGCCTCAGCTGCGCCAGCTCAGGCTCGGGGGAGGGCGGCGGCGACGGCGACAACGGAGGCGACGGCGCCTCGGAGGCCATGGGCCCGGGCGAGGAGGCCCGCGGGCGCGGAGGGCTGCGCTCAGGCGGAGGCGGGCGCCGGCGGGCCGAGAAGCCACGGGAGCGCGCGGGCAGCGACAGGCGGCCTCACCCGCACCCGGCCGCCGCGGCCCCTGGCCATGGCGCCCTGAGGCTCGCTGCCCGTAGCCGAGAGGAACTGCGGGCCACCAGCAAGGGGCAGACAGCCGCGCCCTGCCCAATCGCCCGCCTTTGAAACAGGAAAACTTTATTGGCAACTATCCTCTCCAGCGACCGGGACAGCCGCGGGAGCGTTGGGGAAGTGGGCGGGCCAGAGAAACAGAGCCCGGAAGCGCCCGGGCCGTTCCCGGGCTGAACCGGAAGTGATGGGGCTGGGCGGGGCCGAGGCGGAAAGGGAAGCGACGGGAAGCGAGAGGGGCCTCTACGGTGCACGCGCGCAGTCCCCGACGTCTGCGGCGGGCCGGGCGGTGTGGAAGGGCGTGGAGAGCTGGCGTGAAAGCGGTTACTGAAGCTTTGGAGTGATGGACACGGTCGCAGCCTCTGGTCTCAGACGTTTGCCCTTGCCGACTTTCAAAAAGTTTTCAAACTTTTTGCATAGAGCGCACTTCCTAGCTCCTCGTTTTAGGGATGAGAACACTGAGTCTCCAAGTAATGGTTTACCAAGGTTTATGGAGATAGTGCTCACCCAGGCCTGGGACGCAGTGTTCTGATGCTCTGCTTACTTAGTCCTTCTGCTGATTCCTTGAGTGTAGGCCCCTCCGGGGAAAGAAAGCAAATTCATTAGGTCTGACTTGCAGAGAGGAGCATCCTTGGTGGGCAAATAAGCAGCGAGATTCTGTGGCAGCAGGAGAGAAAAATGCTCTGGTTCAGTGTTTCCTCTGTGTGAAACTGACATTTATTCACCAGCCTTTAAACTGCGGAGGGCCGCTTCGGAACACACTTCCTTCCTTCACCAGGGTCAATTAGAGTTGGAACCTGAGCTGGGAATGCTGGGCCTGCCATCTGAGATGGTCAGCGACTGCGTCTTGCCCATCCTCCTCTCCCAGGCCCAGCACGGCACCTGTCAGAGCGCAGGAATCTGTAAATGTTTGCTGAGCACAGCTAAAGAAAAGAATCCTGTTTGATGTTGACAGTGCAAATAATCCAATCTGTAAATCAAAATTGGGGTGAGTTTACTAGGAGTCAGTTCTGAGGACCATGTAGCCTGGGAGAGTCCTTTCACAAAGCAATGGAGCACTCCAAAGAAGTGGGGGTACACAGAGTGGTTATGTACCATCAAAGAGCATGTATCACATATGATTGGAATGTCCCTTTTACAATAGTCACGAGATTGCTTTGCTGGCACAGCAATTCTGGGAACACAGCGAGTTGGTGGTCTTAAGGTGGGTGGTCACAAGGTGAGTGCAGCAGGCCAGCAATCAATTCCAATCCTAGGGAGAGATGCTTATCCTTAAGGAAATGCCCAGTGTAGGGGAAGTTACATCCTTATGTTTAAGGGCACTGTTCTTGTCTTTGGGACATAGTAAATACTGAAAGCACATGTACAATGCATGCTCGACAGCCACAACAAGCATTTTTGGAAAAACAAGTTCAGTAATTAGTTTTACACCAAATGGCTTCTTCATGTACTCCAATATATCCTGTTGCTTGTCATTCATTTATCAATGTCCTCATTCAGTGGTGGCTGTGTGTCGTCTGTGCCATGTACCACCCACTACTTTAGTCACAGGCAGTGAGTGCTCCTGCAGGGACCTGTCCTCTCTATCCTGCACACATTATTCCTTAGGCCGTAAGGGCCCTTCTACAAGATACTCTCTGGTCAAGATGACAGTGAACTTCTAGCCATCAAAGTGTATTTAGTGAGAACACACAGCATGGCCCTCCTGATGTGAAGTAGAGAGGGATTGCCAAAAACTTCTGACTTCCCTTGATGCATTATGAGTCCAATCAAGAATTTATCCAAATATTTTTTTATAAAAGCTATATTTCCCACTTTCTCCACCTTTGGGGAGTAAGAAATTCTATAAACATTACCTGTAAATACCTGTAAGATAGGATTTCTAGTTTGAATAAGTGAATAAATAAGCTTATTAGCTGCTGCTTGAAGCAGTGTCTCTGATTTGTCTTAAAGGCAATCCTTTTAAGCCTAAATTCTACCTTCTCATGCTACTAGTCTGTACCTTACCTCTGACCATTAGTCTGGAAGAAAAGAGTGACAGTTTTTTGAGAAAAAAGAGAAAGCCCTGTGGATCAGTTAGGAATTACATTAACATGCAAGTAACAGAGTTTTGTCTATAGTGGCTTATTAAACAAATTAGGAGGTTATCCTATTAGAGTAAAGAAGTCTGGAGATGGGTTGTCCAGACCTGGTATGGTGGCTCCACCAGGTCTTCAGAGACCCATGCTCCACCTGTGTTTCTGCTCTGCTGTTCTCAGAGCATATTTCCAGCATCCAGGTCAATTCATGGTACAAGATGGCAAGGGACTAAAGAACTTTCCCATAGTCCCACCCAATGACTTCGATTTATATCTCAATACCCACCCCTTGCTCCAAGTGGGGCTGGGAATTATGCATGTATTTCTAAGCTGGGCATATTATTCCTCCTAATAATAAAGGGGTTCTGTAAGTACGGATGAAAGGGAAAATGCACATTGTGCAGGTGAGTAGCAGTCTTTGCCACACCTAGTTTTCAGATCAAGATGTATTTAGTTTAGTGGGCAGGGCCAGTGCCCTTGAAAAGCATACTACTTGAGACAATTTGTTTTTGTAATGTTTTTTCTTAGTTATTATTTTGTACCTCAGATTGTAATCATACTCCTTAGTTCACAACACATTGTCAACATTGGCCTGTGAATGGGTCTTCTCTTTGTTTGTTTTTTGGTTCGTGTTTTTGTTTTTCTGTGGCTCTATAACCTCATTACTAATAGGAGCACCCATTCTTACGTGTCTAGTATATGTGCTTAAGTATAAATCTATCCTTATAAAAGATGGTTCATGTGCATTTCTTTTACATAAATAGTATTTGGTTAAAAGATGTTGTAAAAATGCGTATGTGTTGCTCTCTCCATGTGTCTCAGTGCCGTATAATATTTCAAGGCATATGTGTGCTACGTTTCATTCATTTGTTCCCCTAGTCCTCAACATCTAAGTTACCTCCATATCTCTATTAAAGCAATTGATACCACAATGAAAATCACTGTTTCTGCCACTTTACTGACCTGTGCATTCAGCTCTCTGGGATATATAACAAGGCATGTGACCTCTGGTTCACAGGACAAACATTCAAGTTCACTGTGTTTTGCTAGATTGCTTTCCAGAATGGCTGCACATCTTCACACTCTCACCAGCGATGCACAGGGAGGTCCGTGTGCTCCTCATCCTCTCCAGTACACAAGATTAGCAGCTCTGGTCCTTTCCACCATTTTTATGAGTGTAATGAGATATTTCATTGTTATTTTAATTTGCACTTCTCTGATTACTGGAGGATTTCATATATTTGTTGAAATGGCCATTTGGACTTTCCCTTCTGTGAATTGTCTGTTCATATCTTTTTTGCCTGTTTCTTTGTTGTTCTTTTGCAGTTCTATCATCTAGATATTAATCCTTTATCCGTTTTAAATATTGTGAATATCTTCTCCCAGTCTGTCATATATCTATTAATTTCACCTATGGTGTCTTTTATTGAACAGAAATCCTTAATTTCTATGCTGTCAAATCAGTCTTTATTTAACTTCATTTTATTTCGTATATTTTATGATTTGGGCTTTTAAGTCTTATTCGTGAAGTCTTTCCCCACTCTGAGTCATATTTTCTTCTCTAACTTTATAATTTTAACTTTCATATTTAGTTCTCTACTCTAACTGGAGGGATTCTGCTGTATTTTTTTCACGTAATGACCTAGTTTTCTTAAGACCGTCTCCTTTACGTTGCTTTCGAGTCCCGCCGTTATCATCTCTCAAGTTCCCATATATGTGTGGGTCTGTTTCTGAGCTCTATCTTCTGTCCTGTTGGTCTCTGAGTCTGTTCCTATGCAGAACCATTCTGTTTTCATCACTTGGGCTTTGTAGTATGTCTTAACATCTGGGAGGACAAGTTCCCAATCTGCTTTTATTTTTCAAAATTGACTTATTCATGAGTCTCTATTTTTCCATATAAATGTTAGAATAAGTTGGTTGAGTTACGCAAACAATCCAATGGAATTTTTAATAAGATTCCGTTGAATGTATAGATTTATTTGGGGAGAATTGATATAAAACTTTACTATGTTAAGATAGCCTGTCCACATACATTCTTTTTTTGCTCTATTTATTTTTGTACTTTAATAGAATTTTAATATGTCTTCTGAAAAAGGTCTTGGGCATTCTTTCTAAGGTTATTTCCTAGGCACTCATTTTATTGTGAATGAAATCACATTTTCTAGTATATTTGACAAGTAAAAGTCTAAGTGGAGGATAGGTTTCTAGCTTGGACAAAGGAAGTAGGGACTACTGGAGAAGAGTGTTACACGGAGGACAGAGGGATGCTTTAGTTTTGGTTTTGTTGATAACATGGAGTTTGAGGTCCCTGCAGAATATCCATTACAGACGTTAAGTAAGTAATGAGCATTCCAGACGCCCATCTGAAGCTTAAGAAACAGACCGGCTGTAGGACTCGTACTGTGTAAAGTGAACACAAGTGGCTCCAAGGGCTGAAGAGAGAAAGCAAATGCACAGACAGGGCAGCAAGCAGCTCCTAGGAGTTCCAGAGAGCTGTGGAACTACCTGGGAATGTGGACCCAGTGCCGTGGAGCTTCTGACTTTTCGAGACAAGCCAGAAATTTGGATTTTTGTGTGAAATCTCTGTTGAAAAACAATGGTTCCAGTTAGAGAGAGAATTTCTGTGACTTCATTATTCTGTGCTCTTCACTGTTGACGTGCGCTTCAGTCCTGCTCCAGGGTCCAGGGTCTCCCCACTTTTACCATCACGGCCACTGCTGTCTTTGCCCCTCCCCTTCCCTTCCTTTGTTTGCTAACTTATCTGTTTCTTTTCCTCTCTCTTTCCCTGTGATTTTATGATTTTGTTTGGAAGAGTTTAACTCTCTCTATATATCACTCGTCAATAATAGAGCGCTTTTCTTCCAGGCAATGAATCAGCTAAATCCCAAATCTGATTTACCCTTCAGGCCTTTGGTTATTTATAGTAGATGGCGTGGAAATCATATTAATAGCCCAATTCTTTGTGTGTCCTGTAGCCACATCCGTTGTCGTGTGACTTTGTGGTTGCCATCACCAGAGGCAGAATCTCCCTCCGCCTTTGGATCTGGGCCTGGCTGTGTGGTTTGCTGTGCCCAGTTGAGTGAGGTGATTGCCAGAACTGT